TTCCAGTTAAGGGTGTAACGATATCCAAGGCTCATGATATGATATTGTCACAGTATGAACCTCACAGTACGATATTTTTGCAATATCATGGGAAAGCTCACGATATGGTGGAGAGGCTCACAACGAGGGATGTAACAATATCCAAATCTCTCTGTACGATATTTTAACAAAATACATCTCATGGTGCGATATTTATTGTGATATTTTGTGGAGTTTAACATGCTACTCTTCCTCTCACAAACTAAATCCAAAGAACTAAGACTTAAAAGTGTTAGAACTGTTATTTCTTCTTGTAGTATACATTGAAATGGAGCAAAGGATTATGGTCTATGTAGTTCTCTCTGTGTTTTATTAGCTTTTGCTGCACCATAACTCTTCATTTAAGCAAAGACACTTGTAATTCGATATATTGTGATGGTCCACGATATTATTGTGAGAACCTTGATGATACGATATCACGATATTTCAGTTATTGTTACATCCCTAATTCTAGTTAAGGTGTGTCGAGTTTAAAAACACAGTAGAGCACTTCCTGTATCACCTCATGACATCACAAGGTGGAACAGAGTGTTTTCTGTTTGAGACGAAAATTTGGCCTAAATATGCACGATTTGTGTGTTAATGAAACAAAACACAACTCCATGTATGTTTGTGATGAGAAAACAACATTACAGCAGATAAGAAAATAGTGTCATATGGACCCTTTAAACATATTTAGGCTGACACTCAAGAAGTGCTCCACTGTGTTTTTAAAATCCATACACTTTCACTAGAATCATTTGGATGATTTTAGCCCTGGAATTGCAAATCTCTACAAAACTAAAGGTAAAAGGAGCTGTTCACTTGAAAACTAGCAGGTGGAACAGAGCATTTTGAGCTTTGGAGACAACAACAGATTGATAATGTAGGATTACTCAAACATGTGTGAATGAAATAAAACACAACTCCAGGTTTGTTTTTGAGGAGGTAATGCCATTATAAAGAGTGGATTTTGCATAATATAGGACATTAAAGGAACAGTTTGGAATTTTGAACATTGGCTCACTAGGAAATGAGGCCCTGAGTGTTGGAGACGTGTGGAGACACTTTTTGAAATATTCCCTCCAGTCCTTGTATTTGCAGAGGTCACTGGTGTTAGACTAGTGCAAGTCAATGGTCATAGTTCTCCTGCCACTAAAAACAGTCTTACCCACTCCACAAAACAATTATTACACCAGACTGTCCATGTGAATGTCTGTGTCGATAGAATAATGTTTGAAATAAAACTAACCTTGCATCACATTTATTTATTTGAGACAGGGACAGCGCACAATTTTTACATTAACCTTAACAGGAGATTGTTTACAGGTTGTAGCACCAGTGATAATTTCCACCTGTAGTCCCTGGGCAAATTCATTGATTGATTGTGTTTAACTGACGTTGACTAGTAACTGTTCTTGGAGACCCGTGTAGCATGTTTTTTTGGGTTGATGGGGGAAACCAGAGCGCCCGGAGGAAACCCATCCAGACACAGACAAACATGCAAACTCCACACAGAAAGGCCCCAGGCATGTAGCATGTTGAGGGACTATTTTCTCATATATCAGTCTGCCACTGCCGAGCTTTCTATCAGGAAGTACTCACTGCTGCTGCTCAGACATAAATCCTTCAAATTCAAGGTTGGTTTTACTTCTAAAATTATTCTATCAACACAGATATTCACATGGACAGTCTGGTGTAATAATAGATTTTCTTTGGGTGTTTTGTGGAGTGGGTAAGACTGTTTTTAGTGGGAGGAGAACTATGGCCATTGACATGCACTAGCCTAGCACCAGCGACCTCTGCAAATACAAGGACTGGATGGAATATTTCAGAAAGTGTCTCCACACATCTCCAACACTCTGGCTCATGAGGAAATGAAGTCCTATGTCCAAAATTCCAAACTATCCCTTTAAATTCCATATTGCTCACTATAACTGTAACTATAGCAACATGTTGATAACCAAATATCATAAAGACTATCTACTGGTATTTGTAAAGTACAGTAGTAGTAACAGTAAAAACGTAATTACAAACAGATTACGGACTTGTTAAGCACTGTAAATAAAGTGCATTGAGCTGAAACTCCCAGAAACCTTTGCTCTCTTCTTAGTTCTGTCCAATCACAACACAGCGACCTCTGCTCCATTATCAGTGCACAGTCTATGAGAGAAAACACCCACGGAGTTTAGTCTGGGCAGCTCACAGCACCTTTGGGTGGGGGTAACAGTCATGTATAAGCTGAGAGGTGGTTCTCAAAGGGTGGTACACTGGGTTCCTCTGGTGGTCAGGAATATCCAGTAGTGATTTTGCGATTTCAGTTTTAAAGGTGCATTCATTGTGTAACTTTTTGGTGAGGGGTCTGTCATTGCTCTGCCTGGAATGTTCCACAGTGTGATATTAAACAGCTCTACTTTACATTTATTCAATTACAGGTGGTTTTACAGCTCAAAAACACCTAGAAAATCTTTTCATTTTAAAGAGTTCAGTTAAATCCCCAGTACGTAATTATTATAATTTTTTTTTAATTGCACTAAAAAACAGAATAACTAGCATCCTTACTCTGAGTGGGCTTGCGTATCCACAAACCTGACCCGTATTTGGTCTGGAGAAGGGTCTCTTCCAGCTTGTTTCCATGGAAATATAGTTCCTTTTGCTATGATATTCCACAGTATGGCATAAAACATATCTATCTCCATGAAGAATGTTCCAAAGTATGGTTTTAACTTTCTTTCTCTATGGAACACATGCAGGTGATGTGCCAGCTCCAGAAAGTTACATACTGTCACTTTAAGCCAAGCAGCTATTTTAGATCAAAAGAAAACTGCAGACAGGAAATACACTGGCCATAGTTAAAGGTCATATATTACGCTATTATTATTATTATTATTATTATTATTATAAATAGACTCTTGTGAACTTTAAATCATGTTAAAATGTAGTGTTTTGTTTCATTGACACATGTTTGAGTAATCCTGGTGTATTAGTCTGTCTACATCTCCAAAGTTCAAAATGTTCTATTCCACTTTGAAGCTGTAGATTTCAAGTGAACAGCTCCTTTTACCTTTAGTTCAGTGGAGATTGGCAATTCCAGGTCTGAAATCATCCAAATGATTCTAATGAAGGTGTATGGAGTTTAAAACACTGTGGGGTTTTCAGTTTAAAAGAAAAACTCAGCCTAAATGTGCAGTGTTTGTGTGTTAAACATGTGTGAATGAAACAAAACACACAACACCGGGTCTGTTTTTGATGAGGAAGCAACATAATATAGAGCAATGTGGACCCTTTAAGTAAGACACACTTTTTAAGAACTGTTTTTGTTGTTTAAGAGAAAGAAAGGGGGAAAAAATTGAGCAATGGGAGGCTACAACTAGTAATGTCTTTGAGTATTCCAAACATAACACCAACACAGAACAACCAAATAAAAATTCAAAAAGGAGTAAGTAGAAGAAATACTTACTTTCTCTCTTCTCTTTTTTTACTAACATATACATCAAACATTACGTAAAACTTTACAGTGTTACATAAAACTGAGTTAATCCAATAATTATCCAATAATCTCTGCACAGAATCAGTGATATAATGTCACACAATAAAAAGCAACAACTCTACACACATAAAAGAGTCCGTTTGACCTTCCATCCAGACACTGACTGGATGTAAACAAGTGAAGGCAAGTCACTATTTCCCCCCTGTGTCTCTTCTTATCAGTCTTTAGGTAGAACTGATTGCATCTTAAAACTGCCTAAACTCTCTAACCCCTGCTCCGTTAATGTCACTGTCAAGTAAACGAACTAACCAACAAATCAATAAATAACTCTAATTAAATCAGCTTAGTACACTTGTGTTCAGAATGAGTTTTTGTTTTTACAACATTATGTGAATTAAAACATTGAACCAACAAAATAATCCATAGGTCCCAGATGGTCCTTACTTCAGTCTATTAAATATTTATACAAATCTAATGTGCCTTGGCTGCGTACAATAAATAATGGTCAGTTAGTGGACTGTAATTTGTGTTTTAGATCAATTTAATATTTTCAACAAAATAGCCCACATGTGTAACGTAAAATAATACTGGTTAATTACGTAATATCTATTCTGTGCAAGTTTCTTCCATAGCCACCGTGCAGTCAGTCAGCAGAGTAACTTTGTGCACTAAGACACTCGCGGTACAAAGGCGCAATAAGAGCTCGTTCACACACATTATAACGTTGTTTCCTTCCTCTACGTAAAATCTCGCGTTAAAGACGTCGACAAACCTCTAAAACTACGTCCTCAAGTGCAATAAATAACCAAAGTTTGTCGCCAATAACTTACCGATCAGTGATCAATCGGCCGCATGCTGCTCGAGACGTGAAGCTTTGGAGACGACGCGCTCAGCAGCCCGTACGTGAGCAAGGCGCGTGTGCGTGGAGGGAAAAGACAAAACACGGATCCACGCTGCGGAGTACGGGACCGTCCCAAAGCGGCCCACTCCGAAGGAAGTGCAAAACAGGATGTGAGGTCATTACAGGACACTTTGGGCTCAGTTCGTGCGAGTTCGGACAAACTCTGGAGTCGTGCGTAAAGCAGGTGAAAGCATCCGTGCGCACGGAAAGAGGGGGGCGAATACAACACCGAGTCTGAGCACGAGCGGAAAACGTGATGTGAGGCGCGTCACTGTGACAGGAAAGATGAGAAAGGCCAGAGTCTTAGGCCGCTCTCTGCTCCTCATCAAGAGAGAGATGGACTCGTCTGGGAATCAAACCTACAGTTTTATTCGCACTCATTTGTGTTTATTACAAGAGATCAAAATATGAGAGTTAATGAATGAACATGTATCTCTAATTGAAAATGAAATATATATATATTTAAAAAACAACTGATTCCATTTGATGGTGGAATATCTCTCCCACAGTTAAAATTATGAATAAGCATTTTTCCATCAGCCCACACAGTAAATATTATGTTCATAAAATGATCACCACAGCAGCCATGTCTGTCTCCACAAAATAATCAAGTTATTTATTTATTTATTTTAAACAAAATCATATAAAGACAATTCCTCATCTTTACACATATTCACATCATTCACAATAAAAATATTTCTAGTCTCCTCTTCATAAACAAATCTCATTTCAGATCTGCAGCCTGTTTTCTTTTCTTCTGTGAGGATTGATCACCTCCATGTCTTTTTCCTGACAGAAACAAAACATTTTAAATGTACCAACAGCACTCTTGAGTAAAAGTTTCAGTTACTCCTTCAACTGTGAGTCAGTCCACAAGAGACAAAAGGCAAACAAAACTGTTAATATGTTACTATTTCCTCTTAAAATGCCTTGACAAGACTTAATCTAAAGAACTAAACTTTAAAATACTTAGAAGAGTTATTTCTTCATGTAGTCTGCACTGAAACTGTGCAAAGGATCATGGTCTATGTAGTTCCCTGTTTTTAGCTGTTGCTGCACCAAAACTTAATGTAATAAAAATTAATGTAAGCAAAGAGTCTTGTAAATTCGAGACCTTTGACAATATCAATTTCAATAATTTTTGTCTCATTTTTGTCTCTATCCTTTGAAAATACCAGATTTCGTACATCATTTAATGCTTTCTTCTCCTTACATTAACTTCAAATTCTTTCTAAATCTTTCTTCTAAATACTTTTTTTATTCCTTCTTGAGTAATTTCTTGGACCACTACTTTGTACTTCTACTTAAGTAAGAGTAGTGTTACTTCAAACTAATATTACTTGAGTAAAATTTTTGGCTACTCTACCTACCTCTGATGTTATACTTAAAAATACATTAGGATTTATTGATATGAATTACTGACCCCCACACTTTGATACAAGTATTGATCAGTTAGTGTCTGGTCTGTTACTTCTTGATCAGTTAGGCTACGTTCAGACTGCAGGGCTTAATGCTCAATTCCGATTTTTTTGTGAAATCCGATGTTTTTGCGAGGTCGTTCACATTTCCAATTAAATGCGACTTGTCTGTGACTTCAGTGTGAACGGTAACCGGCCCGAAAGTGTCCTGCATGCGTACTGGAGACACGATGACATCAACCCCATGCGTCAACCGCAGTGAGCGTGCTCTGTGTTTACGGAAGTTGTCCAAACATGGACGCAGCATCGAGCACCTGGCAATTTTACAGTTCCGGTTTCCGCCTGCTTCAGCGCAGAATAGTGACGTTTGTCGCTTGTTAATGACGTGTAGGTCGGATGGATGCGCTCTTGCCGTTCAGACTGAAGTCGCATTTCAAAAGATCAGATATGTATCAGTTTCAGGAGCACATATCCGAAGTGGCCTGGGTCACATTTGAAAAAATCGGATCTGTGCCGTTCAGACTGTCATTAAAAGATCAGATACAGGTCACATAGAAGCCAAAAAATCAGATTTGGGTCACTTCAGGCTGCAGTCTGAACGCAGTCTTAGTGTCTGGTCTGTTACCTCTTGATCAGTGAGTGTCTGGTCTGTTATGTCTTGATCAGTGAGTGTCTGGTCTGTTACTTCTTGATCAGTGAGTGTCTGGTCTGTTATGTCTTGATCAGTGAGTGTCTGGTCTGTTATGTCTTGATCAGTGAGTGTCTGGTCTGTTACTGTCTTGATCAGTTAGTGTCTGGTCTGTTACCTCTTGATCAGTGAGTGTCTGGTCTGTTACTTCTTGATCAGTTAGTGTCTGGTCTGTTATGTCTTGATCAGTTAGTGTCTGGTCTGTTACTTCTTGATCAGTGAGTGTCTGGTCTGTTATGCCTTGATCAGTGAGTGTCTGGTCTGTTATGTCTTGATCAGTGAGTGTCTGGTCTGTTATGTCTTGATCAGTTAGTGTCTGGTCTGTTATGTCTTGATCAGTTAGTGTCTGGTCTGTTACTTCTTGATCAGTTAGTGTCTGGTCTGTTACTTCTTGATCAGTGAGTGTCTGGTCTGTTATGTCTTGATCAGTGAGTGTCTGGTCTGTTATGTCTTGATCAGTGAGTGTCTGGTCTGTTATGTCTTGATCAGTGAGTGTCTGGTCTGTTATGTCTTGATCAGTGAGTGTCTGGTCTGTTATGTCTTGATCAGTGAGTGTCTGGTCTGTTATGTCTTGATCAGTGAGTGTCTGGTCTGTTATGTCTTGATCAGTTAGTGTCTGGTCTGTTATGTCTTGATCAGTGAGTGTCTGGTCTGTTATGTCTTGATCAGTGAGTGTCTGGTCTGTTATGCCTTGATCAGTGAGTGTCTGGTCTGTTACTTCTTGATCAGTGAGTGTCTGGTCTGTTACTTCTTGATCAGTTAGTGTCTGGTCTGTTACCTTTTGATCAGTGAGTGTCTGGTCTGTTACCTCTTGATCGGTTAGTGTCTGGTCTGTTACCTCTTGAGCACGCTTTCTCTCCTTTGGTTCCTTTCTCTCCGCTATTCGCCTCCTCAGAGTTTTTGGGGCGAGCGAAGGCCACAGTCACTTTGCATCCGTCGATCTCCATGTCGCCTGCCCCCTCTTTGGCCGCTGTGCACGACTCCACGCTCTCAAAATCCACGAAGCCAAACCTTAAAAACACAGAATAAAGAATGAACTTGTAAGAAGAGGATTCACCTTATTCTGGAAGGTGCCGTGGAGCGCCGCCATCAACATTTGGGTTGTATTATTTTGTCTGGGGCTGCCAATCTTGACAGCAAATGAGTTCAATGTGGATTATAAAGCAGTTTTAAATCCTCTCAGAGAATCAGTGCAGTGTGACTTGTTAGTGTACATGAAAATTTAATATTTTACACAAATGAACCTACTTTATGTCATATTTTAGCTGCAAACTTTCCCCCAAATTCTCAATCAAAATGAACGGGATTCCTGTTTAACCAGAAGTGACACAACAAAAAAGCATGAAGCATTTAGAGACAAATGTGGGTTGTGATGGTGATGAGTTGCACTTGTATTTTTAAATAATTATACATATTGGAGAGTTACAATTAATGCTGCTGCTACTAATTTACCTGCACAGCCAGTCCTTTCTGCATTCTGTTTGAATCCAGAAGGAACCAGAATTGGACCACAGAGGGTAAAAATCCTCTGTCAAATTTGAAACGGTCCAACCAACAGCTGCTCATTTCTATCACGTGTCTCTCAAATGTGAAAAACATCTCCTCTCCAGAATTATCGCAACATTCAGAACTAAATATTTTCACTACCTACACTTTTTACCTGAGATAAATCATAGTTTGGAGGGTTGATTGTTGATTCTGTAGAAATTTCCTTTTTTATGTGTAATCAACCATGTTTGTTTTTGATGTTAATGGACCATGAGTCACTCTCCACCTGTCAATCACGCCCTCTGAAATCAGGAGGTGAGTATTGTCAAACATATCAAAAATCTAGTTAGTGTCTAGTTAAAGGGTCCATATTATGCTATTTTCTGATCTGTTATACTGTTGTTTCCTCATCACAAACATACCTGGAGTTGTGTTTTGTTTCACTCATACACGTTTAACAACCAAAACCTGAAAATTTAGTTCTTTCTCTCAAATGGAAAACAGTGTTCCACCTCGTGATGTCACGTGGCACTACAGGAAGTGCTCCACTGTTAAGCCAATGATGTTCATTTTGTCTTCTTATATACTTTAACTTCTTAGGTTCTTTTTAAAGACAATGCAGTAAAGTGTGTTTACCTTGTTGACATGTTTCGGCTGCTAGCTGCAAGCCATCTTCAGAACCGTCACCGGTGTTGGTGGTGACGTGTCGTATATCAGCTGTTGTTACTTCCTGTAGGCGTGGTCAGGTAAATACACTTTACTGCATTGTCTTTAAAAAGAACCTAAGAAGTTTGAAACTCCTTACACCTTCACTAAAATCATTTAGATGAATTAAGCCCTAGAGTTGCCAATCTGTACTGAACAAAATGATATCACAACATGGAACAGAGCATACTGAACTTCAACTAATATTACTCAAAGATGTGTGAAAGAAACAAAACACAACTCCAGGTCTGTTTTTGAGGAGGTAACAACATTATAACATGACTTAAAGCTCACAAGAGTCAATTTGGTGTAATATAGGAGCTTTAATAACACATTAGTCTTATTTATATATTCCCTTATTCATTTACTCCACGCACTGCTGTGGTAAGATACTACTGTAACCACACAATACAAACACACAGCACACTGAAGTGTATTGCCTAAAGGCACAGTTTTTGCCATTGCAGCACCTGGTATTCCCCGCGGTCTTCCATCTAAGTACTAACCAGGCCCAGCCCTTTTTAACTTCTAAGAACTGAGAAGCTCATGCTTTGACAGGTTTGGCCACACACACACACACACAAACACATACATTTCTACTTCTACAATAGTAAGTAGTAGTAGTGTTCGGACTCCTCCTACTCCCACTGCTACTACATCAAAACTTTACTTCTAAAAAAGATATTGCAATAAGAAAGCAGCTGCAGATCAGACTCTCAATCCAAGCCAATGTTTCAAATGGTCGACTGTCTGTTATGGGTAGTTTTTGTATGAGCTTATGGTCAGGATGTAACAATAACCAAAATATTGTGACATTGTTTTGTCAGAAGTCTCAGAATAATATCATGGACCATCACAATATATTCAATGACAAGTCTCTTCCCTTAAATTAACAGTTAAAAAAGCAGAGCAACTACATAGACCATGATTCTTTGCTCAGTTTAAGTGCAGATTACATGAAGAAATAACTATTATAAGCAGTTTTAAATCTTAGGTCTTTGGATTAAGTCTTGTCAAGGCAAGAAGAAAAAGTGTCATATGCAGTTTTGTTAGCCTCCAGAAAATATTGCAATAAAAATTGTACCGAGAGATGTATTTTGTGAAAATATCATACAGAGAGATTTGGATATTATTACAAAGCTAGTTTATGCACAATATTATGAATAGAAAATGAAGAGATTTTATGAGAAGATGCGATGTGTATGACTGTTTTCTCACTAACTTTATTTCATGTCATTTTACTTTTATATTTTTAAATGTTATTTCATAACTATATAGCTTGCACTAAAAATAGTTTAATAAAAAACAAGAAAAAAAAAGAAAGCAGCTGTTTCCTACTACAACTACACAAGCTACTATTATTTTTACATAGTTTTAAAACTTTTTTGTCATCACTTATCACTTTTACTGAGAAAACTCCTGCAATACGTCAATGGTTGCTTACTCTTATTTCCATTCCTCTGTTTTATGTTGCACCGTCCCACTCTTGTAAGTTCCAAGTTTGTGAATTTGGAAATAAAACCTTTTCTGACTGTTTCTGATTCTTTGTATGTAGTAGTTATAATACAATATTTTCCATGGTTTTCTGATTTCTTTCTGAAGATATCTTTCCTTTGCTAAGAGTTATAATACTCCACAGCCATTTTAACAGAGCTCCAGCTGACAACTGGCAGAGTTTGTACATACCATAATAATCACAATCAGATGAGGGAGTAAGTACTTCCCATTACTGCTGTTATGATACAAAAATTTCAAACTCAATTTTGATATTAAGGGATACACTCGATACTCAAATCCGATGCTGATACAGTGATTCTTTAGACAATAGAATGTGATTTTCAACATTAAATCATACTACTTTCTTTTATATTTCCATGTGTTCTTATATGTGTGATCCCTCAGTCACTTAGGTATGTTCCATAGTGGTCCATGGGAGTATATCATAGACCAGGGGTGTCTAAACTTTTTTCATCAAGGGCCACATATCTAAACACAGATGAAGCAGAGGGCTGATCGAGGGCCATAGACTGGTGCTCAGTGCAGTGAATAAATCAAATATGTGCATGTTTAACATGTTAGCATGAATAAATACTGATGGTTCATTCTAAGATCCTTAAAAACCCACACTAAATATTCAATATTAGCTTTATCAAGATAGATTTTCAAAAAACTTGCAGTAAAAAGTTATTACAGGCATTTGGGCCACGGGCCATAGTGTGGACATGCCTGCCATAGACTGTATACATATATGGCCATAGTTAACCAGCTCACAGCTGCGCTCATGGAGGGCTTCCTGCTCCTTCGGCTGTTTCCAGCTGACTCCAACTGCTGCAGTGAGCCTCATCATTTTAGTTCTAAAATGTTTTTTATTAAGCCGCTCTACATAATCCTGATGTTTTTATTTCTTTATTTTGTAAGTAAATAAATTCCTAAAATGGACCTGGCTCCAAATTCACCTCTATAACCGGCAGCCTCAGTGAGCTTCATTTGACTGGAGATGAACGCTCACACTTCTTTATACAGTCTAAGGTGTATAACCGTCTAGTCTTTGTTCTCTTATATTTGTTCTGATACAGCTCAAGATCATTCTAAATCTAACCGTTCATTTCTGTCCACTGAGTGGGATGTTTTAGTATCGATACCTGCTCAAATGAGTATCTAGTTTCGATACTAGTTTCAGTATTGTTTTATTTTCTAGGTCGTCTTTCTGTATTACTTACTTCCTCGAGAGTCCAGTGCTTTTGTTCATTAGGATCCTTGAGCTCAGAGCTCCTTCAAAAGCCTCCTTCAGGGTGTTGGCGCTGGTTCCTTCGCTCAGACCCAGAACTACCAGGGATTTAGATGGAACTGAAACAAAAGTCACAAGGTCACTTTCATGTAACTGCTCATACATACAGTAAGATGCACATGAATTTGAATTTTATGACCTATAGTTTTTTTTGTCTTCCTGAAACACATAAAAATACAAGTGAAATAGGAATAATATTGTGAATGTTGATTTGATGTTTACTAAATTTGAATATCATGTAAGTTTATCTTGTCACAACTTTATAGTCCTTTCATATTTGACACTTAAAGACAGGAGAGCACGGGAGAGTGTTTGATTGACATAACATGGTCAATAATAGTTCCTGAGATAAAAAAAAAAAAAGTCAGATATTTTGTCAGTATCGCTAAACTCCTAGTGTGTCATTCAAGTAATTCATATAATTATTAGTTCAATTACTGTCAAACGTGTGACCAACCTTTTATTTCCTCAGTTTTTGATTTCAAACCAAACGCGACTTTGAACGGTCTCTTCAGAATTTTACTATTTACACTGGACTTTAGAGCCGCCTCTGCCTCTGCCACAGATTCAAACTCTACAAAGGCATATCTGTAAAAAGAGATTAGTGTTGTAGATATAAAACAAGGTCATTAAGTCATAATAGTAAAAGAGATGATTTTATATTGGTTTACGCATCCTTCCGCTTCCATATCCTCAAGGTCAGGTTACATTGACTCTGCTTTAGTAAATTGCTTTTACCCTTTGGATTTCCCTTCGTTCTGTGGAATGTTGATTTTTACAGCGTTCGTAAAGACTTTTTTGATGTGTTTTTCCTGAACTCTGTCTGGCAGCTTTCTCACAAACAAAGTGGCACTGGGAGGAGCTTCAACTGTGGAGAGAGAGAAAAAAAAAAAGCTCAAATAGAGACGGGATGTTATGCTTAATTTAAGACATGTGTTTAAAATGTATGAGTGTGTCTAACACCTTTTGCTGGAAACTGATAGATGATATTGATGGTATTTAATGGGAATAGATGGGGAATCAATGAGATATGGTATAGTAAATATAGTAACATAACACCTACACCTTAATTAGCCTTACTAAAGCATGGGCTTGGTTAGTCATTGAATGGGAGACTGCTGAGAATACCAGCGACAAAACTGCTGTTGTGTCCTTAGGCAAGACACTTCACTCTCATTGCCTAGTGTGAATGTGGTGTGTGTGATTGATGGAAGTAAATCGGCCAGTCTGTACCATCAGCCTCTAAACCACCATAAACTGTCTGACCCAGGGCATCTGTGGCTACACTAGTAGACACACTTGAGGTCACAGCGGCTTGTCAAAGCCTGATCCCGTCAGATCTCAGAAGCTAAGCAAGGTCAAGCTTGGTTAGTACTTGGATGGGAGACCACTGGGAAAATCAGAAGCCACAGGGAGGCGCCAGTCACAAAAGCTGTCGTTGTGTCCTTAGGGAAAACACTTCACCCACATTGCCTAGTATGAAAGTGGTGTGTGTGAGTGATGGGGGTGTTCGGAAGGACCGATGGCGCTGATTGCCATGGCAGCCGTGCTTCCGTCAGTATGCCCCAGGGCAGCTATTGCTACAATAGTAGTTTACCACCACCGGGTGTGGAGAGAAAAGAATAATGAATAATGAATGAAAAATGCTCTGTAAAGCTTCTTTGTGACATATGGCTGTGAAAAGCGCTATATAAATAGACTTAACTTGTTTACATACTTACTTACTAGTGTCCTACCCAGACCAAGACCAAGAGTGTGAAAAAGCACTACCATATTTTCCGCACTATAGAGCGCTCTGGATTATAAGACGCACTGTCATAGAATGGTCTATTTTCTTCTAACTTTTTTCACAAATAACCGCACTGCACTTTAAAGGAAACACAACAGTGTGATGGGTGAGTGGTTTTGTTTGTTTGTTCGTTCACGGTGACTCTGGGCTTTGTTCAGTTGTGGCGTGTAGGGAGGGTGCTGTCTGGGACCAACGGATTGTCGGTGTGTTCGCAGTGACTCAGTTGTTCAGTTGTGTCTAGAAGTGGCACATTGCACTCGCTTTTTTGGTTCGTTCCTCTGTTCCGTTCCTTGTCGGTGTGAAGTGATGAGTGTGTCTGTGGGTGTTTTTCGTTGCGCGGTCGCTGTCTGCTCCGTGTGTGTTTGCGTGTTCTGCGGGTGGTGCGGCTTTGTAGTTTACTGAAGTCGTGCTGGGACACCCGAATGGATTCATGTATAGGGCGCTCTGGATTGTGGGGCGTGCAGTCGTTTTTTGATGGGGTTGGAGGATTAAGAGCGTGCCCTATACTGCGGAAAATACGGCATATAAGACTAATGCACTATTGAGAAAGAAAACATTGCATTCACAGTGAACAAAAGGTTTAATAAGCGTGATTCAGGTTTAGTGGCTTAATTAATCCCCTAACTCCCAACTCTGAGCCTTTAATTAAGTAGTTAAGTAGTAGCCTAAATCCTTCTAAAACTATATGGTAACTATGAATTCAATCTTTCTGCATTAAAGCTGCAAATAATACCATAAATACAGAAGACTTACTCTTAGTGGAGTCACTTTTGGTTGCGTCTCTGAGTGGGCTCACCCTCAGCACACGTTCCTGCATCTTGACTTTCTTGTTCAGTTTCAGAGCTGCCTTAGCCAGTGATTTATGTTGAAATTCCACAAAAGCAACACTGTAAAAATATAGAGAAATGTACCTTACTCTTAATGTCATGGTTATATAAATTTAACATTGCTTTTCCCCCGGGCATTTGAGCAAAATTAGTCTTGCCCCAGTACAGATATATATTGTATAAGCAGCTCTAGTGGTCAAAATAAGTCAGCTGTGTACTGTCTGCAGCTAATTATAAATCATCTTACAACATTAAATTTGTCTGTTAATGAGGAAGTGTGTGCTTAGGCTGCTAGTTGTTGCTGGTGGCACAGTGACGACAAAGCTCTGGCCTCAGAATTGTGAAAGGCACTTGTCAACTCATCACTGTGAATAATTCAGATGCTCTGGTTGCTTCTGATAGAAAGCATGATCTTACCCTTTACTTGCACAACCCATTCCTCCAAGAAACCTCACAGCTGTCAATTTTGGAAACACCTTCACCAAGTCTTCTCTTGTAGCAGAAAGAGGGATGTTTTCTACATATATGGAACGCTCTTTCTTGGCTGTCAACAGAAAAAAAAATAAAAATAAAATAAAAATAGAAAAAATATATATAAAATAGAGCGAAAAATTGAATAGAAAATTGAATTATAATTTTTTTCCAGGTAATTGAGAAAAGCATGTATGTGATAACTGTGTACAGTACCTTGCTTGATTTGCTCTGGATCCTTGACTTTGACCGTGGCCTCTTTGACTTTAGCTTTGGCAACTTTCAAGGGTTTGTCCAGTAACTCCTCTCCGTTTAGTGATAGTGCTTTATTCAGGTCCATCTCTGAGGCCAGGTCCACAAAGGCATGTTTTCTATAAGACAGCAATGTACACGTCTTGATTCATTTGTAAAAGTTGAACAGAAAAACTGACATGAAAGAGCGCAGTATCAATTCATAAGTTTGTTCTTCTTGTATGATGCTGGTTTTTAAAGCTACCATCCGGGATTAAACTGGCTGACCTGGCCCTGTTGCATTCTCACATATCATCACGAGATGCTATTTATGTTACTGCTGTCTGATAATGTGCCGACTTTGGCCTGACAGAAGAAGACCAGAGAGCACAGGGCCATTTCTGAGTCCCCGTACTTGTGCAAACGCGTGTGTGTGGATTTGTGAAACATCCTCCACCCCACAAAGTCATGTTCCAATTCAAAGTCTGCTTCTCGGTGAGTCAGCTGGAAATCCCTGGATGAGAACTTGCTCTGTCCGTTTTACCAGGGATGTATCAGAGGAGACTAATTGGGCAATATTTTTATTAGTGCTGTCATGCGATTAAAAAAATTGAGAGATTAATTAATTATGATCTGTAATTAATTACTCTAATTAATCTCATTTTAATCTCACCTAAAAATTGCTGAGAAAAGCCTTCAATTTGAGGTATTTTCATTTAAATTCATTATTACATTATTGTGGCAGATCAAAAGACTGATATAGATTTAAAAAAGTGACTTTATAAAGTCATTTGTTTAACAAATCTCTCCAATTTGGCTGTTGAGCCCAAGTCTCCATGAATAAGAAACTGTTTGTTGTAAAGTAGCAAAGACGAGGAAATCTGAACATAATAACTTTTGTCGACTTAAAGACAATAAAAAGTCCAGTCTTTCCTTAACCATATTAAAAATATTATTGATAGAGAAATATATATGAGATCACTGGTTTTAGTCCTGGTTTAGACCTGGTTTAGTCCTGGTTTAGTCCTGGTTTTAGTCTTGGTGTTAGTTCTGGTTTAGAAGCGCACAGGAGGAAGCGCGGTTTACGCCGCGTACGCGAGAAAACACGGTCCACACGCGGCTCACGGGAGCACGTCGGTGTCCGCGCAGTGTCTACGGAAGGAAACGTGGTCCGCGCGTTCTCAGGTTAATGACGATGATGAAGGTGTGTGTTGTTTGTGTGTGTTTGTGTGCGTGTCCCCTCATGTGGCAGGTCACTATAGGACAGTAGTGCAGACATCATGAGCCTATGCAGGTTGTTTTCAGGCGATATTATATTTGTTATTTTCTTTTATATTTCACGTCGGGAGAATAATTTCCAAGACACGAATGTGTTTTTACCTGTGCACTGCTGCCTCTGTTCTACTGGCTCTACGACCTCGTCCATTGTGCGACTGATGCCGCCAACGTTAACATGACGTTTACATCGCTGTTACTGCGCGCGTTTTGTGTGAGTTTCCGGCAATGAGTGGAATTACCGAAATAAAAAAATGTATAAATGTGTTTTGTGTGTGTGTGTGTTGTTGTCCCAACAACACATAAAAACAGGTTTTATAATAAAGAAACTCACATACAGAAACACTAAAGTTAGAGATTAAAAATGAGATTAACGCGATTAAAAAACATAACGCGCTAAATATGACTGTAATTAATTAATCGCAATTAACGCGATAATTTGACACCCCTAATTTTTATATTTTAAAAAAATCTTTTTATTACACCAACATGAGCTTAATTTCCTGTGATTTCATCAAGTCTATCTGTCCCAAAAGCTGAGAGAGCAGAGTGTGTGAGAGTGTGTGCTCTTGAACTCCTCAAGTCCATTCTCAGAGTTTGCTACCACCCTGTACCTGGAAGTGCACAAGTACAGAGTCTGGATACTGGGAATTGAGAAAAGGCCCAGGTGAGTTTGAACAAAAACCAAGTGAGATGAGGGAGAAACTGGTTTCACATCTGCCATCTACTGGTGAAAAAAAATCTAATAAACTTGCAAATACAGTATGTGACCAAAAACTACTAAAAAGTATGTAGATGATCTAGTAAAAAGATTCCTCATTTACAAAAAAAAAATATAGTGAGCAAGTAAAAATAAAAGGGTGTCTAGTTTATGAAAAGAAAAGCATCTGAAAACTATATTGAGAAGTAAAAAGGGAGTAATATACATTCAAAATCTAAACTCATTACTTAAGTAGAAGTATGATGATACAATTCATCAAAGCCCAGTTGAAATAAATCAAATATGACTTATTATGACTTATAATATTGTTAAAACATAATAAATTACCTTCTCTAAAGACTATGGATTTTTAAGTTATTTTCTAAAAGAGTTCAGCGTAAAAAGGCTCCACTCACTTGGCTTTGTCCAGTCGAATGTCTTGAACCAGGAGACTGTGTGTCATGAAGTAGTTGGCGAGTGTATTTTTGATGTCCTCATAGAATTTGGAATTGTTTAGGTTTCCAACATAAACACAATAACCTATAAAAAGACAGTATCAATCATATCAATATATAGAGAAAAAGATATTGGAATTTTACTCTGAAGTCATACCATCATTTATGAGTTTACTTTTCTTCGATGGGGAAAAGTCAACTGAGGGCTGGGCCTTCCGTTTTCCTTTAACTAAAATAAAAACAAACATACAAGCTATTAGGATTGTCACAAGTATTGAAAATCAGATGCTAATCAATACTAAAACTAGTATCAAAACTTTTTTTTTTTTTTTATCGTGACAGCACTACAAGTTATTACAAATTAAACATGGCCAATGTTTCAACTTTTCAATTTTGTCAATCACAGATTAAAAACCAAAAAACAAGAACGTTTTAAATTTTCTGCAAGTAAATGTTACTGTTTTGCCAGAAATGCTCCACAGTATGGCATTAAACTAATCTATCTTTTTGTCAGCAGGCTAAATTACAGGTCAGATCTATGTACAGGCAAGTCCATTAAGAAGAAAAAGTAGGGGTGCATGTTTTTCAATGTGTGTTTTAGCAATAAAACACCAGTAATTGAAGAAGATAGAACTTTAATGCCATACTCTGGAACAAAGCAATAACATCTCCATGCAGACAAACAGGTGGCACCTTTAAATAATAATCCTTGTGATTTTTGTTACCTGTTGTTTCCTTGACTTCCTCACTCTCTTCTTCACTGCTCACTTGCTCCTCTTCACTTTTTGGGGACCCACATTCATTGTTTTCACTGGCGGCAGTTTCCATTTCAACGTCTGTAAAACAAAACATTCTTCAGTCTTCATACTAGGTACTAGGGTAGTCAAAAGTACCAAGATATTAATTGATACTAAAACTAATATTGAAATTAGATAATCATTTGAGCAGGTATTGATACTAAAAACATTCACAGGACAGAAATGAACCTTTCCTGAATAAATTTAGAATGATGTTGAGCTGTATCAGAACAAGTAGAAGAGCACATAGACTAGTATACACACATGGAGCACTATGGAACCTACCTGGACTAGGGATGAACATGATCGATTAATCGATAATTGATCTTTAAGAATTTCATCGATTACGTTAATTTTAATCGACAATCCAAATGTAGGTTGCTGTGCGTATCGTGACCAAACAGGGGTCTGTACATGTGTCTCTCTGCACTCAGAAGGAGCGAGACACAAACAGTGGGTCAGTCTGCAGTGTACCGAAGCACAAATGTGTATTTAACGATGACTTATACAAGAAAATCCACGCTTTCCGTTGCGTTCGGGACAAGTGTGAGTCCATGTGCACAGTGAACAAAGCAGAAACATATGTTTCGGTGTCCAGTGGGAAAAAGCTTTACCAGGTGAGAGTCGCGCAATGTGGATGACGAGTCCCCACCTTCCTCCCCCCGTACGGTGTCCTGGTTTTGACAAACGCAAATCTGGTCACACTAACCTGTATTCACCTGAGTCATGTCTTTTAATCCAACAGAAATTGACAGCATCAGCGCACAAGAGCTGTAGTTTTATCTTCGCTGAGTTTATGCAAATTAGTGATGCGGTTTTAAGTTTTGTTTCTGTGAAAGTTGCGCAAAACTGAATTAAAAACATTATAATGTCAAACGGGCTGATGTGGCTCTAGAGTGGTAATGGTTTATATGTCGTAAAGCTGAATTTATTTATGCAGATTAGTGCAGATAGTAATAATAATGATGATAATTTTAATATAAAAACATTAATGATTAATCGATAATCGATCATTAATAAATGATCGATTAAGAAAATTTCATCGAATGCCCATCCCTAACCTGGACCACTGAGGATTACACACATATAACACCACATGGGAATATAAAAGAAAGTACTATGATTTAATGTAAAAAATGATTGTCCAAATGAAGAGTGTTTTTTTTTAATTTTTTTTTTTTTATTACCATCAAGGTATGTGTTTTTAGGAACAAAACACTAGCAGTTGAATAAGATAAGTTTAATGCCACACTATGGAACAAAGCAATAACATCTCCATGGAGAAAAACAGGCAGACCATTCACCAGGAAAGTTGCACCTTTACATAATAATGATTTGTTTTCGTGCTACTACCTGTTGTTTCCTTGACTTTCTCACTCTCTCCTTCACTGCTCACTTGCTCCTCTTCACTTTTTGGGGCTCCACATTCACCATTTTCACTGGCGGCAGTTTCCCTTTCAGCGTCTACAAAACAAAACATTCTTCAAAAGGACTGACATATCTTCATACAAGGTGGCCACACTAGCTTGTCAAAGCCTGATCCCATCAGATCTCAGAAGCTAAGCAGGCTGGGCCTGGGTAGTACTTGGATGGGAGACAGCTAGGAATTCCACGTGCCACAGTGGGGCGCCAGTCGCAAAAAAACTGCTGTTGTGTCCTTAGGCAAGACACTTCACCCACATTGCCTACTATGAAAGTGGTGTGTGTGTGTGTGAGTGATGGTGGTCGTAGAGACCGATGGCGCAGATTGGCAGCCTCACTTCAGTCAGTCTGCCCAAGGGCAGCTGTGGCTACAATAGTACATTACCACCACTGAGTGTGGAGTGACTGAATAATGAACTGTAAAGTAATGAATTGTAAGATGCCTTGGGTATCTTGAGAGGCGCTATATAAATGCAATCAATCAATCAATCAATCAATCAAGGTAGTCAAAAGTATCGAAAATCAGATACTAACCGATACTAAAACTAATAGTGAAAGTAGATACTCAAAAAATATCATACTGAGCTTCTCGAAACAGTTTTAATATAATTTTGAGCTTTATCAGAACTTGTATAAGATCTTAATGTAAAATAAAGTACTATATGAACAATGAAAACATTCTATTACTAAAAAGAGCTAGATTACAGCTTGATTACATTGTGGTATTGTAATTGGTATCGAGTCTTAAGTAATTTCCTTAGCATCAAAATCAGGTCTGAAATTTTACTATTGTGACAACACCACTTCATAGAGTTTCTTCATTGATTTCTGTACCTTCTCTCTTCTCAGTCTCCACTGTGTCGTTGGTCTCCTCCTCTTCACTGTCATCTTCTTTCTCTTCTGTTGGAGTCTCTTCAGGTTCTTTATCCAAAACCTCTTCTGGGGTTGAGGCCTTCCCTTCTTTTGAGAATACAAAATTACAATCATTTAAGCAGTGCCATTTTTCACATTTCAGCATATAAGAGCTTGAAAAAAAGGGTAAAAATGTCGGGACTACACCTTCTTTCTTTTTATTAAATCAGAAGCAGCAAGGAATAATACTGAGACTGTAATATACCTTTGTGTTTACTTATATTTCAAGTATGACTTTAAACAAAAACACCAGAACCTGAGCTTGGATGAGGAAAACCGTAAAAAACATGTGTCACTCCTGCACATCTTACCGTCACTGATCTCTGCGGTGTGGCTCTCGATCAGATCTTCAGTCATTTCTTGGTCTTGTTGCTCCTTCTTTTCCCATGATACACTCACTGTTGGTGTGCTGCCTTTCACTTCGATGACAGCATCCGCCTCAGCATCTAAACATAAAGGTACATTACAAACATAAGTGCCTGCTGTTACATGTATATGATTTTTGGAGTTACACCATTAAAATAACCAGAAAACAGCAAAGCATCATGGTCCCTCTGATCACTCACACCAGATTTTGCAGTTAACATTTCATTTACCATATTTTCCGCACTATAGGGTGCTCTGGATTATAAGGCACACTGTCATTAAATGGTCTATTTTCAAACTTGTTTTGAAAATAAACCGCACTGGACTTTAAACTAAACACAACAGTGTGATGGGTGAGTGGTTTTGTTTGTTTGTGGCGTTCACGGTGACTCTGGGCTTTGTTCAGTTGTGGCGTGTAGGGAGGGTGCTGTCTGGGACCAACGGATTGTCGGCGTGTTCGCAGTGACTAAGTTGTTCAGTTGTGTCTTGAAGTGGCACATCATACTCGCTTTTATGGTTCGTTCCTCTGTTCCATTTCTCGTTGGCGTGGAGTGATGAGTGTGGCTGTGGGTGTTTTTCGCTGTGCGTGTTTGCGTGTGTGAACATGGCCACTGTTAGTACCATGTCTCATTTTTCATAAAGAACAATCCCAGTTCATCAGCCTATCAACAACAATGTACATTTACGTATTTATGTAACTTACCCTCTTCATCTTTGATTTCTTCTTCTTTTGTTGGCTCCTCTGCATCTGCTTGGACGTCTGAAGGGATCACTTCAGTCTGCACCTCTGAAAACAGCAAACACAATACCAATACATCCCACATTCAAGTTTACAAACACATTTCAAGTCAATTATCTCAGAAAAGTTCAAATTTAAACCAAGTATTACCTTCTGTGTTTGCAGACTCCGGTTTCTCCTCTGCTGGTTTGTCTTCTGTAGAGTCATTTTTAACTTAAATTAAAGGACTGAGCTCATTCTGGATGACTATCAATAAGAGAATTTGTTCATTTCTTAGCTACAGTTTCTGAAAACTATCAAAATCTGAAATGTCCTAAACATGAATGATAAATAATTCCAGACAGTCTAAAAAAAAAAAAATCAACTTATTTTTCATTGTGGTATTTTGAGTTTATTCTCCACTATAAGCAGCTACATCTCTATTTGGTCTGTAGGCCACTTTCATTTTTTACTTCTAAAATGGGAAATGTACAAGTTATATTTTTCTACAATAATTATCACACGTGTATGCATTTTAATAACATAATTTTACATACCTTCACTCTCTTCTTTGTCTTCTACTTCTATTTTGGCCTCTTCTGGCTCATCTTTTGCTTGTTCTTCTAGGAGCATATATAAATCATCTTAAGCAATATGAGGTTAAATAATTTCTAAAATAAAACCAGGAGTATTACCAGGAGTGGTGTTTCCCTCTTCTTCCACAACACCAGGATTGAGTCGTCTACTTTGTCGTGTTTTTCCTTTGGGAACCTGAAAGTAAGACAAGACAGACATTATTAACTACTTACAGTGGGCATTATTGCTTTACTAAACTAAAGCTACATAGAATTGCTAAAGAAGGGACATTTTACTTGCGTTTTGGTTTAAAATTATAAAACCAATATAATGAATTATAAAGCAGACACTTGGTAGTCCAAGTGTAATTCAAAGTGTTAGCATGCAGAAAACGGTCATTTCATAAATATTTGTAGATCTATACATCGCCGATACATTAAATGCATAAAATATAAACGTGAACTCCATCGGACAAATTTCTTACGTTAGTTTTTGCCATATTTCACAAAATACAGTGCAGAAATCCACACGTGTTCCTCCTGCACTCACAACAATCACATGAACTCCACTGCGCATGCGTTAGCTACACTACGGGTACCGCGAAGGGCGCCTTTTTGGTTTTGGATTTGTAATGGACTTAAAAGTATTTTTTTACCTCTGTCCGCTTCAAACTGCGTACAGCTCATTCATACGCAAACGTAATGCTTAGTAATGGCTGCACGATGCTTATGACTTCAAAATTTAAGTATTTTTAGCATATTTGTAGGTTTTAACCAATCAATGTCTGCTTCGGGTTTTACGCGGTGCACGCCTACGGTCGTACGATCTTATGTCAAACTTGTAAGAAGAAACAGTGATCGGGTCAGTTGTCCTACTAGACCATGCTGATGCCAATTTAAAGCCCCGATTTCTGTGTATGGATAAACTTCAGTACGGTACGAAGGTCGACTGGAAGCCTGAAATACCCGCAGTGAAAGCCGGGGGCAGATAAGGTGGTGGTAGTTATCGGGTCACACACAGCCAGGGCAGTAAACAGACGCACTATGAGCATTGACTGTACGAGATCTATTACTATGGAGGCTTGGATTGCTTGAAAAACACGGAGGACTTCCAGGATTTCTGCAATGGGGACTCAGAGAAACGGATTTAAAAAGGAAAGTTTTATTCTGTCCGTGGATGTGGGCACAACCTCCATCAGATGTCACGTTTACGACAAGGAGGCGAAAATCAGAGGATCCTGCTCCACTAAGGTACATATCATTCAATTAGGGCTGTGCGATTAGTCGAGTTTTAATCGAGATTAAAACGTCAATGATCAGTGTGGGTGTTTTTAATAAATGAAGAGGTCTACAGTTATCAAAAGCATGTGATGTGGAGAGTTAAAGGGTCATATTCCATTATTTTCTGACTTATGTTATAATGGTGTAATAATGTACCTCATCACAAACAGACCTGGAGTTGTGTTTTGTTTCATTCACACATGTAAGCACACAGATCCTGCAGATTTAGGCTGAGTTCTTCTCTAACAGAAAACGCTGTTCCACCTTGTGATGTCATGTCACTCTATACTTCTTCACTAGAATCATTTGGGTCATTCACCACTTTGGAATTTCCAATCTCTACTGAACTAAAGGTAAAAAGAAAACTTGAAAACTACCGCTTCATGACATCACAAGGTGGAACAGAGCATTTTGAGCTTTCAAGATGCAGACAGGCTAATAAAGGTTACTCAGATGTGTGTATGATTAATCGGTGATTATTTTTTATCATAGCTGGTCAATAATATTGTTTATTACCGTTGTATTCAGATGTCCCACTTCCTTAATCTCAAAACTGATAAACCACAAACTGAACTTGTTTTCTCTGCTCACAGTGAATTGTTATTTGTTTTTTTGCAGATGAAAACTTGTTTCACTTTATGTTGGCAATGTCCTGTAACTTTGTCCACCACTTAAACATTCTTCAAGTTCCATATGATCTATTTTGACCTGGTCAAATGGCTCATTTTACAGCTTTCACCTAGATTCTCAAAACTATTCATTTTTATGCACCAGTATAAGTGCACATTGCAGATTTTCAAGGTTTTAAAATTTTTATGTTTAACGTGGGATAGTACCTGACTGAATATCTGGGCACAGTAACACGAGAAGTCAGTGCAGGGGGTATCAGAAGATCACTTCCATTTATAGCATATAGAATAAATATAATACACTAAGTTATATTGGTTTTTTTTTAAGACATGTTTTGCCAGCTTTTGGTTGTGTTTATTGTACTGAAAAAAAAAACAACAACAGCTTCTGTTCTTACTGAAAATGTGCTTGCATCTCCACAAACTCTTATTTGACCTAGAGAAAGGCCCCTCCTTCTTGTTTCCATGGAAAGTTTCTTCCTTTGGCTAATATTCCACAGTCTAGCATAAAATGTTTCTATCTCTAAACTAAAATAACCCCAAACTATGTCAAAACTTATATTTTAGATTTTTTAAAGTAGCCACCCTTTGCTTTGACCCCTGGCTTGCACTCTTGACGTTTCTTGACCCTGACATGGCCCAGCTGTGAGTGAAAATCATTTGAGGAGACTTCATCATGAAGCTCATTGAGAGAAGAACAGGGGTTTGCTACTTGATAAAAAAACAAAAAAAAAAAAACATTGAATGAGTGTCCAAACTTAGACTTGGACTTAGACAAACTTTACTGATCTACAAGGGAAATGACTTGGACACAGCAGTTCACAAATCATAATAAAATAACAAAGAGTAAAAATGTAAATCGCAATAATACATTTTTTTAAAGTTAAAAAGGCTTAATTATGTATATGAATAATGTATGTGAACAAGTAAAAATACACTTTTGGTTGGTAGAGTATTTAAACAGGTAATATGTTTAATTGAGCATACTGAGGTGTTGTGTTTGTTTTGGCAGGTGGTTCTTCGGTATCCAGAGGAGGGACATGTGGAGATCGAGCCCGAAGCTCTGTGGAAAGGATTTAACACTGTGGTCAGAGGAGCCGTTCAAGGTGCAGCCCCATTTAACCTCTCAATGTTATTTAAAGATACACTGTGTAGGGTTGTCAAAAATATCAAAAATCTGATACTGATCAGTACTAAAACTAATATCAAAAGTAGATACTAATTCAAGCAGGCGTCTATACTAAAAAAGTCACATTCACAAGACAGAAATGAACCTTTCCTGAATAGTTTTAGAATAATTTTGAGCTGTATCAGACCAAGTATAAGAGCGCATAGACCATACACCAATGGACCACTATGGAACCTACTTGACCACTGACTCCCACATATAAGACTATGTGGGAATATGAAAGAAAGTACTATGATTTAATGTTGAAAATCACATTCTATTGTCTAAAGAAAGACTGTTTTTATTATTATACTAGTATTGGAATCTGTACTTAGTATTGAGTCTATTCCTTATCAAAAATCAAGTGACATGACATTAGGACAGTGTAACTTTTCTGATACAGGGTCTACCACTTGTTATTGCTTTGCCTTGAATAATCCACAGCATGGCATTAAACTTATCTGTCTCTGTGGAGAGAAACAGTTACGTTCTACAAGTCAAGTCAGTGGGGAGTTGGGTCCGTTCATAGTAAGAATGCAAGATTTTCAAAGTATTTTCAACAATAAAATGTAAAAACACCAATGATGGATTTAACACCATACTGTGGAACATTCCAGGCAGAGCAATAAAATCTCCATAGAGACAAACAGGTGGCAGACCCTCCAGACATAGGGCCTCATTTCCTAGTGAGCCAGAGTGTTGGAGACGTGTGGAGACACTTTTTGAAATATTCCATCCAGTCCTTGTATTTGCAGAGGTCACTGGTGTTAGACTAGTGCATGTCAATGGCCATAGTTCTCCTGCCACTAAAAACAGTCTTACCCACTCCACAAAACACCCGAAACAAATCTATTATTACACCAGACTCCATGTGAATGTCTGTGTTGATAGAATAATTTTAGAAGTAAAACCAACGTTACATTTGAAGGATTTCTTTGTGAGCAGCAGCAGTGAGTTGTACTGATAGAAAGCTTGGCAGCAGCGGACTGATATATGAGAAAATAGTCCCTCAACATGCAGCAATTCATGCAATGTAGGACTCGTGATAACACTGAGGCAGAGAAAGAACGTGGTAGCAAGTTCTGGAGCTGTTTCTTTTTGGTCTAAGGGTGAGTGCTTGGAGCTCTAGATCACATTTTATCATCATCTCCACTTTTTGACATTTTGTATGAAGAGGAAATAGTACAAACTTGGACCTGCACCACAGTAATCAGTGTTGGGAGTAACGTGTTATAAAAGTAACAAATTCCTGTAATGCATTGCTTTTTGCTGTAATGCAGTAATGTTCGGCATTACAGGGAAAAAAATAGTAATAATTTACTCGGTACAAATGTCAGTAACGCGCGTCACAATGTTTTTTTTAACGTGGATTGAAGTGGTGGGTTTTTCTTCATAGAAATTCGCTAAAATCACTGTAATATCAGCAGAACTCGGCTCCGACCTGGTTTAGTCCTGGTTTAGACCTAGTTTAGTCCTCATTTAGTCCTGGTTCAGTCCTGGTTTAGACCTGGTTAAATCCTGGTTCAGTTCTGGTTCAGTTCTGGTTCAGTCCTGGTTCAGTCCTGGTTTAGTCCGGGTTCAGTCCATATGCTGCGCAAAAGTTCAGCATCACAGTTAGAGGTAGTAATGCAATAGTAATGTAATGCCTTACATTTTAAATGCAGTAATATTGTAATGTAACTAATTACTTAGAAATGATAGTCATAAATAACACATTACAGTTTTGATGTAACTTGCCCAACAGTGTCAGTACTACAGTAAACATAGTTGCGTAGTAGTTCTTCTTTAAACTGGATTTCTAAATAGTGCAATTTTTACTAAAAACGAAGTAAGGAAGTGTGTCATTCCTTAGAAAATTTCTCAACTGTGCTTAATCAGGCAGTAATCTTTGGTTTATGGACTTGTCCCTCTGACCCCACTAATCATTTGTAGATGACCATTTAGACAGCTTTCATACTATTTAATACTATTCATATTTGGATTAGGTCTTATTCTACTGTAGTGTTGTCATGAGAGTACAATTTCAAACTTAATTTCGATACTAATGAATAAACTTTATATACATTTTGATCCCTAAATGATAATTTTAAAAGATTTTTCTTGGCCAGTATTGCATTTTTCAACACAGAGTAATAGTATTTGTTTATTGTACCATGTGATTTTACACTAGTTCTGATAAAACTCGAGATGAAAATGTTCAGAAATGTCAAATTTTATCCACGTGTGTTACTCATTTAAACAAGTTATGACATTTTTCAGTATAGATACTTGCTTAAATCAGTGTCTAGTTTCACTACTAGTTTTAGTATTGATTAGAATTTGATTTTCAATACTTCTGACAGCCCTAATCTATTGCCACATTGTAGGTGTTGTTTTTTTTGTGTTGTTTATTTTTGTTAAATTGTGCAACAGTTGTACTCTCCAGGGTGTGTTCACTCGTTCTGCTTTCATTTTAAGTTGAGCCCAGTTTAATTCTGGTCTAGACCTGATTTACTCCTGTTTTGTTCCAGTCTAGTCCAGGTTTAGTTCTGTGTTTAGGCCCAGTTTTGTCCCACTGTTATTTATCTGATGGCTATAAGTTAATTTTCCTATGTAGTCTGGTGTGCAGGTAATTAATAAAATAATAAACTTTGATATTTAAAAATACTACTAAAAATGCACCCATTGAAAGACGAGGTATGAGATTGGGTCCATGAGAACGAGACAAGATTTAAACAATTCCTAATATATAAATTGTGCAATGAAGATTCAAATTTTGGTCTTACAATTTTAGATTCCCCAGATATATTTTTGCTGCCTCTCTAGTACAGTTTTTTGAAAGTATAAGCGTGTAACTCAACAACACCCTTTTTTCGATCTAAAACTAACTCCGAAGTCCAAACTAGACTTAGACTTAGACAAACTTTACTGATCCACAAGGAAAATGATTTGGACACAGGAGCTCACGCATCACAATAAAATATAATAACAAAAAGAAATAAAAAAAATATACAAACTACCAAATTTGGAGGACTGGATTAACATTGTGGAAGAAATTTCACAAATGGAAAGACTGACACTCACTCAAAGATTGGAATACGACAGGTATGATCAAAGCTGGAAACCATGGAAAGAATTTATTAACACCTGAATATATAAAAAAAAAAAAAAAAAAAAAAAAAGTGACAGGGACAATCCCTGTCCACTGCTACTTAAATGTTATTTTTTTTTCTTGTTTTTATTTTATTTTATTTCATTTTTATTTTATTTTTTAATTTTGTATCCTTAACGGAAAAAGGGAAAAAAAAGAGAAAGAAATTTTCACTAATATAATGGAGAGATATGTGAAGTGAAAGAAGAATGAAGGGGAAAAAAGGTGATTTGAAACCATCTCTATTTGACTGTCAATAAAAATTAGAATTTTAAAAAAGAGTAATAAAAATAATATAATTGGTAATAATTAATTCTAAATAAGTTGCAAAAAAGGTAAAGAGACAGATTGAATGATTAAATACATGTATATGTACAAGTTAAAATAAAATAGAAAAATAACAAATAAAAAACAAGATCTTGTCCCACCCCTGTTTACAGCACATTGTACATTTGTAAAATTTTGCCATGTAACACCAGTCTCTCTGAACAGATGCAGGAATCCAAATGCGTCAGATCGAGGCCTTGGGGATCTCCACTCAAAGAGCCACGTTCACCACATGGGACAGGTAAAGGACTGCTCAGCACGCTCTCACACCACACGTCTCCCGCTGCTGCTGACGGGGCATCTGGCTTACTGTATTTTCCGCAACATAGCTCTTAAAAAAACGACTGCGCGCCCCACAATCCAGAGCACCCTATACATGAATCCACTCGGGTGTCCCAGCACGACTTCAGTAAACTACAAAGCCACACCACCTGCAGCGCACGCAAACACACACGGAGCATCACAATAGAGCGTAGACTTTGTGTCAATCATGTGACACACAACTCACTAGAACAGGGTCTCCAAACGTTTTCCTCCGGTGAGCTACTTTTACAAAACAAAAATGTCAAAGAGCTGCTCATTTTAACGGCCGCAACGAACTCAGACGGTTATAAGAAAGAGGGCGAGCCTTTGGGTGCAGTTAGACGCCAATAAAACAGGGATCTTGAAACTCTTTCCTTGGATGATCTTTACCTTTACAACACAAAAAGTCCACAGAGCTACTCATTTTAATGATCATAAGAGCCACAGCTAAACCTAGATGGAGTACAGTTAGATCAAACAACATAAACCATTATTTAATGATGAGTGCACAAAGTCAGGCATCAGAATGATAGATTTATAATAACAATAGGCATTTAATTCATCAAGTTTTAGTTATTCAGAACAATACACAGCGCCACCTAGTGTCTCCGCTCAATTTTATTTCTCTCAAGCGACTAGGTCAGGAATCAGAATACACTAAATGATTCTCAAAAACCCCGGAAGTGCGAGTTCGGGCACCAGCCAATCAGTGAAGAGACATACCGTATTTTCTGGGCTATAGGGCGCACTCTTAATCCTCTAACCCCATCAAAAAAGAACTGCAACCACAATCTAGAGCGCCCTATACACGAATCAACTCGGGTGTCCCAGCACGACTTCAGTAAACTACAAAGCCGCACCACCCGCAGCGCACGCAAACACACACGGAGCAGACATCGACCGCACAGCCAAAAACACCCACAGAAACACTCATCACTCCACGCTGATGAGGAACGGAACGGAGGAACGAACCGAAAAAGCGAGTGCAATGTGCCACTTCTAGACACAACTGAACAACTGAGTCACTGCGAACATGCTGACAATCCAGCGGTCCCTGACAGCACCTCCCTACACGCCACAACTGAACAAAGCCCAGAGTCACCGTGAACGTGCCAAACAAACAAAACCACTCACCCATCACACTGTTGTGTTTCCTTTAAAGTCCGGTGCGGTTTATTTGTGAAAAAAGTTCGAAAATAGACCATTTAATGACAATGCGCCTTATAATGCAGAACACCCTATAGTGCGGAAAATACGGTAAGTGTGTGTTTGTGTTTATTGGTAAATTGCCTTCACTGGGGTTGCAGGAAGACGGGGGATCCCTTCCATAACTTCATCACGTGGCAGGATCGCAGAGCTGCAGAGCTGGTCAAGTCCTGGAACAGGTCCTGCACCATGAAAGTAAGTCTCAATTATTGCGCTGTTTTATGATCTACTGTATGTTCTAATGTTGTTTCTTCATCACAAACAGTACTTTATTTTACTACTTTATGTGCTTATGAACATATAATCTGTCCTTAGTAAAATTAGAATACAATTAAAGGTCCTATATTGCATAAAATTGACTCTTGTGGGCTTTATGATGTTGTTACCTCCCCAAAAACAGACATGGAGTTGTGTTTTGTTTCATTCACACATGTTTAACGCACAATCCCTGCATATTTAGGCTGAGTTCTTCTTTTAAACAGAAAATAATCCACTATGTCATGTCATGTGGTAGTACAGGAAGAGCACCACTGTGTTTTTAAACTCCTTACACCTTCACTAGAATCATTTGGATGATTTTAAGCCGTCAAACTGAAATCTCCACTGATCTAAAGGTAAAAGGAGCTGTTCATTTGAAAACCGCCACTATATGACATCACAAGATGGAACAAAGAATTTTGAGATTTGGGGATGTAGACAGACTAATAATCCAGGATTCCTCAAACATGTGTGAATGAAACAAAACACAACTCCAGGTTTGTTTTTGGGGAGGTAACAACATTCTAACACATCGTAAAGTTCACAAGAGTCAAGTTTGTGCAATATAGGACCTTTAACTGTATTTTAATTTTACTCAGGACAGATTAAATATTCATAAGCATATAAAGTGGTAAACAAAGAAAAGACAACACTGAATGAGAAGGTGTGTGCAAGCTTTTGGTGGAGCTTCATGTAACTTTGAGGTGGAGATGTTATTGCTTTGCTTTGTTTTGCTTTTTTTGTGTGTGTGATTGCACTTGTCTCTCCAAAGAGCTGACCTGTAACTTAACTTTGTCTCCAGGGAGTGAGATAGTGCCATGTTGTGGTGCATTCTACACAGAGCAATAGCATCTCCATAGAGAAAAGCATTTAATAGACCCTCAACTAGAAAAGTTACACAATGCACCTTTAAGATCTGAACTGATTCATCTTTTTTTTGCTGGAATGTACATAAGAGCATATGCTGTTCTTGGATTTCAGAGATGTCTCATTGACTCAGGGGTTTGCAGATTGATTTCTGCTACTGGCACTGCTCACTGTGTCTTTGGGCAAGGCACGTCACCCATCTTGCCTATATATGTGTTTCTATCGGTAGCGCAACCTTCCTAACTGAGTAATGTACAAATTATATTTGAATGTTTTAAAAATAGTTGCAAAAGCCTGTAACGATAACAAATTCTGAAGTGTAAGTGTAAAGTATAAGTATTAATATAGACGATAAATTGGGGATGGGCGATATCTCGATATGCTTATATTCAATTCTGATTTGACCACTTCGCTTGTTTCCCCTCTCTGTCGTCGCCCCGTGCACCCCCGCCTCCATGATTTTGCTGCTTGTGTCTCATTCACTCCTCACTACCACCGTGAATGCCCAAAGTTGATGCAAGCGAAAAGCTTCAAGCACCATGAAACATTTCCACACAGCACATCCTCTGTCACAGAAAGAACACTCATATTCCACTGAGTTGTGTCCTTTAGTCTGACAGAAGCTGAACCACATCAGCTGCACAAGGAGCAAGCTGTTTATGCAAATGAGTGGTGGTTTTAAGTTTTTGTTTCTGTAAAACGTAAACACATGTGGCAAAACTGCATTAAACACATCATAATGTCACACGGGCTGATGTGGCTCTAGAGTGGTTATGATTTATATGTTGTAAAGTTTAGTCATGTAAAGTTTATTTATGCAGAAGATTTTAATGAACAATCTCCTGCAGTGTAACTTGTACAATAGTGTTTGGAAACGTTGAGTTTGATCTGCAATGGATTGTGGGAAGCCTCAAAGCTGCAGTGAATTGTGGCTCAGAGCTGCAGTGGATTGTGGTATACCTCAGAGCTCCTTACTGCTGGTGAGGAACATGGTTCTGTTAAAATAAGGAACCTTCCGAGCTTCCTCTGCTAAAGGAGCTCATGGTCATCGTACGGTTAACAGAGTTAAAGCAAAGATGAGCTTGAGTTGAGTTGTTTTATTTATTAATGTAAAGAAGGAAATATGTTTTTTCTTTTATTTTACAGTTAAATTATTATATATGTCATTAATCAATCAATCAATCAATCAAACTTTATTTATAAAGCACTTTTCATACAAAATGTAACACAAAGTGCTTTACACAGATTAAAAACAATCCCACATTTCCACCCACCCACCAACCCAACCTCCACAGCTGCCCAACTCGACACAACCAAACATCACAGACACCCAAACCCCCAGGGGAGAGATGAAGCCCAAACACCAACTCTCCACCAGGAGCCCACGGGACAGATCCGACAGCTACAGCCGACCTCTGCTCCCGATGCAGAGGCTCCTACAGAGGAAACACTGCATATCCTAAAAATAAGTCTAAAATAAATAAATATAAATTAAAATGTGTATAGTAGAAACAAGTAAAAAATATGATATTTCATTCAAAAGCTAAGCTAAAAAGGTGGGTCTTGAGCCTGCTCTTAAAAACATGAACGTTCTCTGCAGCCCTGAGCTCCTCCGGCAGGCAGTTCCATAGACGAGGGCCACAGTACTGAAAAGACGCCTCTCCGTGAGTGTGTGTCCTGACTTTGGGAATGACAAGGAGCCTGCTGCCGGAGGAGCGCAGGGTCCGCGAGGGTTCGTAAGGTAAAAGGAGTTCTGAAAGATAAGAAGGCCCAAGACCATTAAGACATTTAAAAACCAGTAAAAGAACTTTAAAATCGATCCTGAAACTCACAGGGAGCCAATGCAGTGATTTTAAAACCGGCGTAATGTGGTCCCGCCCTCTGGTCCTCCATTAGGGATTTTTTGTAATCTTAAATGTGGCAGAAGCATTTTGTTCCTACATGAACTGCCTACCTCTTACGCTTCAATAAAAAAATATCTTGTGGAATTTGGTATATTTGTTTTTGTAGGAGTTTTTGGGGGGTTATTTATCGAGATATGTTTTTTTCTCCATATCGCCCAGCCTATAAATGATAGTACTGAAACCAAAACCATAAAGCAGAATTATCCCCCCAAAAGTATTCTAAATCTACAATATTATTAAAAACATGAACTGCAATAAATTCATAACAGAATACATACATGTCTGTCATAATGAGTCATAGAAGTTCATAATTAAACACTCAAAGCAGTCCACCAGTCCAAAGGAAAAGTACCTTGGATAAATATTGACTCCCAGAGGTAATTAGTCCATCTATCATGTATTGAATTCTGAGTCAATATAATAATTATCGTGACAGGCCTGTTCTCTCTCCATGAATCCTGCTATTGTCAAACATATGGCCACACTCCCTGCATGAAAGGTCATTAAAGGTCATTATTCTGTAACATGTTTAATAGTTGTTTCATGTTTTTGCTGCCCTCTACAGGCCATCCACGGTGTGATGAAGGCCCTGTACTTTCTGACCCGACAGAAGAGGTGCCTGGCTGCCAGTTTGATCGTTTTCTCCACTCAGCACGTCAGCATGAGGCTCCTGTGGGTCCTCCAACACTACAAACAGGTCTGTGGGTTACACTGCTCATTTACATCAAACACACAAACCTTATTTCAGTTACATCCCTCACTATATTGCAGTTCACTTTTTGCGGTCTCGTTTCGCGGATTTTTTTGTGTGCAATTTTGCATGCCTTTTTTTACAGTGTATAAACATGTATTGTGTTGCTCCCGCTGCATCCTGATTGGCTGAAGACCATTGTCAATCAATCTCATTCGTGCTGTGTCTCCTGTACAGTACAGAATGCGTTGAGCTGGTCTAAACCAGGTCTAAACCAGGTCTAAACCAGGTCTAAACCAGGTCTAAACCAGGTCTAAACCAGGTCTAAACCAGGACTAATCCAGGACTAATCCAGGACTAATCTTGGATTTAAGAGAGAACCGCAAGCTCACGGAGGAGGGTATCTGTAAAGCGCGATCGGGCTACGGCTGTGTTTACCTCCATGAGGTGTGGAGCTGAGCCGGTCCTTTCTCCTGCTGTCACCTCTGAGCCCGTCCTGACAGTGAGTCCTGTTTCAGTTCTGGTTTAGTCCTGGTTTAGTCCTGGTTCAGTCCTGGTTTAGTCCTCCTCTTCAGTCCTGGAATCAGTCTTGGGTTAGTCTTGGTTTAGTCTTGGTGTCCAGTCCATGGTGTATACAGCTCAAAAGTCTGACATACATTAATCTCGGGTTAACGGGTGGGTGCAGTGCTGTACTGTGCGGTGCAGGACTCTGCGCTGTAGGGCTCCATTATGGAATAAATTAATCTTCGTTTCGTTGCATGAAGCAATAAGTTTTAAGAAGGATGCAAAAAGGGTTTGGTAACTGTCCTGTTTGAGAAAAGTGTATAAAGTGTGTGGTGAGGGGTTTTACAGACTTAAAACAGATATAATATTTGTAAAATATAAAGTTGATGACTTTGTGATTTTCACCTATTGCGGGTTATTTTTTAGAACATAACCCCCGCGATAAATGAGAGACCACTGTAATAAAGGACTAATTAACAGTATGTCTTAGCTAGGGCTGTGAAATGAATCATATTTTTTAACTGAATGGGACTTTTTAATGGAGAAGATCTACAGACAATCCTGTCAGCAGAATCACGTGGTGGAATGATTTGACCATTTTTATAGTTTTTTGTAAGCCCTAGGGGTGGGCGATATCTCGATATTTTTAATATATCGAGATTTTTTTTAAACTCGATATGAATTCTGACATATCGTATATATCGATATTAATGCTTATATTCAATTTTGATTTCGCCGCTTTGCTGGTTTGTTTCTCTGTCGCCGCCCGCGCGCCTCCGCTTCCTGATTTTGTTCGCTCGTGTCTCATTCACTCCTCACTGTCGCCGTGAACGCCCAAAGTTGGTGCCAGTGAAAAGCTTCTAGCGCCACGAAACTTTTCCACCATTTACAGACAAAACCATCAGCAGCACATCCTCATATTCCACCGAGTCATGTCCTTTAGTCCAAAAGAAGTTGAACCACAAGAGCGGCACGTGGAGTGCGCTGTTTATGCAAATGAGCCATGCGCTTTTTAAGTTTCGTTTCTGTAAAACGTAAACAAGTCTGCGCAAAGCTGCAAAAAAATAAAATAAAATAATTAACAGTATTTTCTCAAATGGGCTGATGTGGCTCTTGAGTCGTTATGCTATATATCTTGTAAAGTTTAGTAATGTAAATTCTATTTATGCAGAAGATTTTAATTAATAATCTGTTGCAGTGTCACTTGTACAAAAGTGTTTGGAAACGTTGGGTTTGATCTGCAGTGGATTGTGGGAAACCTCACAGCTCCTTACTGCTGCATAGGAACATGGATCTGTTAAAATAAGGAACATCCTGAGCTTCTTCTGCTAAATGAGCTCATGGTTATGATTATGGTCTGGATAACAGAGTTAATGCAAAGATGAGCTTGAGTTGAGTTGTTTTATTTATGAGTGAAACAAAGGAAATATGTTTTATTTCTTTTATTTGACAGTTAAATTATCATTTATGTAATTAGGGTTTTTTGTAATCTTAAATGTTCCTATATGAACTGCCGACCTCTTACACTTTAATTTTTAAAAAAAAGGACCTTGTGGAATTTGGCATATTTGTTTTTGCAGTTTTTTAGGGGGTTATTTTTTCTTGAACATATATCGAGATATATATCGTATATCGAGATATAGCAAAATATATCGAGATATATTTTTTGATCCATATCGCCCAGCCCTAGTAAGCCCTAACTTTCAATATGAGTAAATAAAGGACTTTTATAATCAGAATGTCTTACACAGTCTTTGAGCTATGATACATAAGTAGTTTTGGTTTTATTATGATATTTTATTAACATTTCATTTTTGTTTTAAGTGTCAATTATTTAAAGCCACAGTATGTAACTTCTTAGCCCAATAAATAGCCAAAATGAAAACTTTAGTCTATGTTTACTGCACTGAAAACCAGAGAAAAACAGGCATATTTACTGTGAGCGGACTTGCATTTCCAAACACCTGACTCATATTTAGCCTGGAGGAGGGCTTCATTCTGCTTGTCTCTATGGAAATGTTGTTTTTTTGGATATAATTCTCCACATTATGACATAAAACCTCCATGGAGAATGTCCCAAAGTCTGGTTTTAACTTTATATTATTCCTTATATTACTTTACATTTCCAGAGAGTTACATACTATGTCTTTAATGTCTGATGTGTACATGTTCAAGGTATTAATACTGAAAGACTTTTTAATTTGACACTGAATCCTATTTTTGGCGACCTGGTTTGAATATATATATATTTATCTAAAACAAGTACAAATAAGTAAATATGACACAAAATGATGACTGGTTATTTGATACAAGCCTGTGAATATGACCTTTAAAGGAAAAGGGCAGTGTTGATTTTAAACACCACGTGCAGGTCACATGAGGAAACTCCTGCTCTGCTCTACATGATCCTGTTTTTGTTTGTCCCACTTCTCGACTTTAATCAAATAAGCAAATATAACCTAAAAATAACATGGCACTGAGGTATTTTTCTCATATACTGTAACTCATCTATAGCTGCACAATGTACTTGTTTACTTTTTGGCCATCTTGTCTCCATGGAGATGTTATAGATGTGCCTGAAATGTTACACAGTATGGCATTAAGTAGAGATGTAACAATAACTGAAATATCGTGATATTGTATTGTCAAAGTTCTCACAGTAATATCGTGGACCATCACAATATTTTGAATTACAAGTCTCTTTGTTTAAATGAACAGGTAGCTAAAAAACACAGAGAGAACTACATAGACCATGATCCTTTGCTCCATTTCAGTGCAGACTATGTGAAGAAATAACAGTTCTAACACTTTTAAGTCTTAGTTCTTTGGATTAAGTCTTGTCAAGGCATTTTAAGAGGAAAAAGTAGCATATTAACAGTTTTGTTAAACTCCACAAAATATCACAATAAATATTGTAGTGTGAGATGTTTATCATGAAAATATTGTGTAAATATCGTAAGAGATTTGGATATTGTTACATCCCTAATTGTGAGTCTCCCCATCATATCATGAGCTTTCCCACGATATCGCAATAAATATCGTACTGTGAGGTTCATACTGTGACGATATCGTATCATGATACTTGGATATCGTGACACCCCTATCATTAAGCTTTCTATCTATCATTTTTAAATTACTGATGTTTTTACTTAGCCAGGCTGGTGCCACCTAGTGTCTCCACTCAATTTCATTTCTCTCCAGTGACTAGATCAGGAATCAGAATACACTAGATGGTTTGCAAAAACCCTGGAAGTGTGAGTTCAGGCACCAGCCAATCAGCGAAGAGTCATACATTCTGTGTTGACAACGATTCCTGAGATCGAGGATTTAAAGCCGGAACAAAGAGAATGTTTGGTGAATTTCATCAAGTGGAAAGACGTTATTGTTCTTCTTCCTGCGGGATTTGGGAAAAGCTTAATATACCAGTTAACCCCGTTAGCAGCGCATTACATATGTCATGACCAAATAGCAGTGATTGGTTAAATTAAAAAAAAGTACCCGTCGAGCAAACAAATCCTAATTCCACAAAGTGAAACTGGCTGATGAATCAGGATAGTTTTTACTGCTCAAAACCTTGAAAAAACAAGCATTCTCACTCTCACTCTAACATGGCCCAGTGACGTCAACTGCTTCTGTCAATGGAGATTGATAAGTTTAATGCCGTAGTGTGGAACATAACAGATCAAGCAATAACATATCCATGGAGAGAAAGCATAGTACCAGAAAGGTTACACAGTACTGTATCGGTAGGTTCTATATTACACTAAACTCTTGTGAGCTTTAAGCCATGTTGCCTCCTCAAAAACAAACTCCACATGTTTGAGTAACCCTTTATTATTAATCTGTCTACATCTCTTAAGCTCAAAATGCTCTGTTCCACCTTGTGATGTCATGACGCAGTAGTTCAAGTTAACAGCTCCTCAATAGAGATTTTCCAGGGCTGAAATTATTCAAATGACTGTAGTGAAGACATATGGAGTTTAAAAACACAGTGGAGCACTTTTTGTATTACCACATCACATCACAAGGTGGAACAGAGTGTTTTCTGTTTGAGAGAAGCCTAAATCAACATGTGAATGAAACAAAACACAACTCCAGGTCTGTTTGTGATGAAGAAACAACATTATAACACAGATCAGAAAACAGTGTAATATGAAGCCTTTAATATAAATCTTTCTCTAATGTTCAGTTTTTATTGCTGTTCAGTCTCACCTTTGACCCATTTTTTTTAGTAAAGCTTCATTTTGAGTCATTTTGTGATTGTACGTCTTGAATTTCCTCTTTTCAGATCCGACAGGCTGCCTCTGAAGGGAACTGTTGCTTTGGGACAATAGACACCTGGCTGCTGTTCAAACTTACTAAAGGTGGGTCCTGTGTGGTTTGGTTTCTCATTATGGTGACTAAAGCGAAGCAGGTTTCATTTTAAAAGTGGAAATAAGAAGAAGAATGTTGTGTATGTTTTGGCTTTTGAGCTCCCACATAAGCATCTGGGTGAAACAGACTAGTGTGGTCACGATACTAACATTTCAATTCCGATTCCAATACCACAATGATATTAAAAAAACTCTTTCTTTAGACAGTGTTTAAGAATGTGATTTTCAACATACATCCTAGTACTTTGTTTTGTATTACTGTGTGGTCTTACATGTGTGTAATCCCTGATCGGTTAAGGTAGATTCCACAGTGGTCCATGTGTGTATACTAGTCTATGTGCTCTTCTACTTGTTCTGATACAGCTCAACATCATTCTAAAGATATTCAGGAAAGGTTCATTTCTGTCCTATGAATGTGACTTTTTTTTAGTATTAATACATGTTCCAATATGTATCTATGAGTAATGAAGAAGAAAAAACATATATAAGTCGCACCGGACTGTAAGTTGACATTTCCTGTTGAAAGTCAAGTTCTAGTAATAACAATAGAAGAGAGAACAACAAACTGTTAACGTCACATATGAACAGTTCTTCAGATAAACTATAACATAAACAACAGAACAAGTTTAACAAACTCTCCATCTCACTCCAAATCACTAAATCCATTCAATTCTTCATCCTCGGTGTCACTTCTGAGCAACTCTGTGACCTCCGGAGGTAAACAGAGCGCTGCTTCCTCTTCTGTGTTGCTGTCGTCAGAGTTAGCATCAGTTCCAGTTAGAATTATTCTGGTCTTTCTGAATCCCAACAGGATGGTTTCAGTGTCACTGAAATCCAGGCTTTGTCCATCCATCCAGTGACTTCAGGAAAGTCTCATGGTGTACTCTCCCGGTTGCCGTGAAGTTGTGTTCTCCATGCCCTCTTTCCACCAGTCCCTCACAAGTTTCTCGCTCACTCCAAACTTTCTTTCTGCTGCTTGATTACCGTTTTTGGCTGAATATTTCACTACTTGCAGCAGGACAGCGGCTCTTTCTGCGGGAGACATGATTCTGACACACAAGACTAGAGCCACTCGCAGCTTCAGTGTGAAAATGTCAATTTATAAGTTGCACTGAAGTATAAGTCACAGGAAACACCCAAACCATGAAAAAAAAGTGCCACTTATAGTCCGAAATATGGTATATAAAACAAAATAAGGTTCTTACATAAAAACAAATAACAAATAATATGGCAATAATAATTTAGTTGACTGTTAAATCCTTTTTTTGTCTGGATTTGATTTCAGGTCGTGTTCATGCCACAGACTTTTCCAACGCCAGTTCCACAGGGATCTTTGACTCCTACCAGGTCTGGACAGTCTTATGATCTTTCTCCCCTGGCCTTTAAAAGTAGTTAAGTAGTGTACTCAAGTAAGAATTTTAGGTATCTGTACCTTACTTAAAGGGACAGTTCAGAATTTTGGACATAAGGCCTCATTTCCTAGTGATTCATTTTCCTAGTTTGAAATAAAACTAACCTTACATCGCATGAATCGTTGCATGTTGAGGGACTATTTTCTCATATATCAGTCCACCGCTGCCGAGCTTTCTATCAGGAAATAGCACCAGCGACCTCTGCAAATACAAGGACTGGATGAAATATTTTAAAAAGTGTCTCCACACGTCTCCAACACTCTGAGGCCCTATGTCCGAATTGTCCTTTTAAGTAGATCTTGAAACACATACATTTAAGAGCAGGTATCTATACTTTCTACTCTATTATGAAAAGTAAAAGTATTGTAAAATTATTAAGTATAAGTATGGTTGAGACCTCCTGAAAAGGCTGCGGGTTTTATTTTTAACATGTTTGTTGTTTGAGCAAAAAAATAAATAAAAAATCTAAATTCAGCACAAATCTTTATCAAATCACTACTTTTGAAGCCTCATAAGACATGTGCAAAATACTTGTACTTTTTTCTCTTTAAGTACATTTTTACTATGTTGCCTTTCACTTCTGCTATCCTGACATGTTTCATTCAAAGTGATTTACTATTTTATTCTTTTTGATGTCTCATTTGTGACAGATGTGCTGGAGTGAGTTTCTGTGCTCGGTGTTGTCTCTGCCTCTGTCCATTTTACCCACTGTTGTGAACACAGAGTGAGTGAAGCTTTTCTTTTTCTTTTTTTAAAATTTTTCAATTATACCAAACAAAACAAAACAAAAAAACACAAAGGAGAAGAGTGCCGTTACAAACGTTCATTGAAATAGAGATGTTTACAGTATTAGTTTTCATATAAAGTCTGATCTAACAGGTTTCACATACTCAGTCCATTTTGTCCATGTTTCATAAAGAGTCCCTTACTTTGAGTCTGAAGGGTGAAAGACAGTTTTTCCATCACATAGATTTCATAGACTATTTCTATCCACTCTATTGATGGAGAATCCGCCCTCAGCCATTTTCTTGTAATGGCCTTTTTGCTCGCTACAAGTTCGATTGCTAATAACTTTTTATCATCATTTCTCCAATTCTGGACATTAACATCTCTCAAGTATAAACACTAAAAAGTAAACATCAATTTAGACCTAAAACATGGTATATATGATTCCAAAACTGTGACCAGTAAGATTTAAGAATAGTGCAATCCCAAAAAATGTGATAGCGGTTCGCCCCAGATGATCCACAGAGCCTCCAACATGAATCCCCACTCTCTTGGTGTTTTTTTTGAATGGGTGTGAGAGTGAAGCGTTTCTGTTGTTTTAACCAGATTATACTGGAACACAACACAGTCACATGTTCATAATTAAGGCTATGGTTACACTGAAACGAATCACCGAATCACCGGATCACCATATCACCGTATCGGAAACGATCTGCGTCCAGACATGTCATTTCTGTGTCCTCAGGCCTTCCCTAGCCACACAGCTTTGCGCATATTTGTTTAAGTTTTACACAAACAAAACTTAAAACTGCATGGATAATATGCATAAACTAAGAGCTCAAAAAACAGTTCACTATTGTGCACTGATGTGATTCAGCTTCTGTCGGACTAAAGGACATGACTCAGTGGAATCTGAGTGTTCTTTCTGTGACAGAGGGGTGTTCTGCTGATGGTGAGTCTGTTCTGTGTTTCTGTCGTGTTGGAGATCATTCATGTTAAACTTTTCAGAGATTATACGTCTGCAGGTCATACACACAGACACACGTTTATATGGATGGACAGATATTCTAGCCTGTTAGTGTTTTGGCGGTGAATTACTTTGCGACTCATAGAACTACATCAGCGTATCATTGTCTGTGGATCCGTTTTCAATTGGATTAGTGTGGACAAACACTGCATCCATAACCATAACCACTCGAATACGTACTAGTGTGGACGGGGCCTATATTTAGCCAGTAATTTATTGTAATGTTTTAAAGATGCACTATGCAACTTTTCTGGTGGGCGTTCACTACCTGCTTGTCTCTGTGGAGATGTTATTGCTTTGCCTTGAATGTTCCACAGTATGACATTAAACTAAATCACCTAACTAAATTACAGATGTTTTATATCTTAAAAATACACCTAGACATAAAAAAAACAAAAAAACATTCATTCTTATTCTTGGCCTGATCACATTACCAGTTTGTCTCTACTGAAAATGTATCAGTTTAATGCACTACTCTGGAACATTCTAGGCAAAGCAATAACATTATGCTGGACATTAGATTGTACTGTGTCTACTTTTAACATACTTTATATTACTACAAAACAACTGTGATCACCAAGATTATAGTGTATTTCTTTGTCATTATTTTAGTTGTCTTTGGTCCTACAATCTTTTACTTTCTTTTCTTCAGTCATGACTTTGGAGGCACTGACATGTCCATCTTCGGAGAGTCCATCCCCATCAGATCACTGGTGAGTTCACTGTTATCTTGTAATTCACATCATTACAGGTCCAGTTATGTCAGCGTGTCACTCTCATTATGTTATAAATCAGGCTGTAATCAGTTCATTATTGCAACATTTAAAGGAGACGTATTGTAAACGAACTAATGAGGTTCTGAGTAATGTCACAATACTAATGTTTTAAACTTGATTTCGATATTAAGGAATAGATTCGATACTCAATACTGACTCTGATACCACAATGGTAATAAAAAACACAATTTATGTAGACAGTAGAATGTGATTTTCTTTAAATAATACTACTTTCTTTTATATTATCATGTGTTTTTATAGCTGTGTAATCCCTCACTCATCCAGGTGTATGTGCTTTTACAAATCTATTCAGGAAAAGCTAATTTCTGTCCTGTAAATGTGACTTTTTAGAATCGATACTAGTTTCGATACTCATTTTAGTATTGATTAGTATCTGATTTTTGACACTTTTAACAATCCTAAATCTGAACAGACAAAAATGCATGATGTCAACTCTATTTTTTAGAGTTATTTTTAGTTTTTAACCTGGAGTCAGTGATATTTTTGAAGTTCACATTCCAGGTTCATTTGCAGATGCATTCTTTTTTTAAACTGAAAACCTGGTGTTTTTCCCCAATTATAAAGATTTTAAAACATTACATTTTAATCCATTAAAAGCCTTAACAAAGTGTATTATTTGTCCTTATTAATCCAGCTCTACAATGTTTAGTTTTAAAATTGATTAAAAAAAAAAAAAATAATAATAATAACAATATATAAAAAATAATAACCACAAATGACTTTTTATAGTTTATAGAAATCTGTATGCAATAAAATCACATAGGCCTCGCTTAAATAAACAGTAGTGCTTCTCAAAGTATGTCACTGAGTTCTGTCTACTTTTAAACAGAAATCTGTATAATTCGCTCCAGTGTGAAACTATCTAAATTAACAATATTAAGCCAGATTTCAAACATTTTTACAGTTGAAATTTTTATCAATTTAATTTTGCTCTGTGGGACCCAGGTTATATAATAGAACTCACTTATTACTGAAAATATAACAAAACCTTCCCATTATTGCAAAGAAAACATACACCTGATAAATATGTACGATAAAGTGTTACTGTCGTTGTGTCCTTAGGCAACGCACTTCACCCATATTTCCGGGTGTGAAAGTGGAGTGTGTGTAAGTGATTGTGGTGGTGAGAGGGACAGATGGTGCAGATTGTCAGCCAGCTCCAGGGCAGCTGTGGCTAATGAATAATGAACTGTAAAGCGCTTTGGGTGTCTTGAAAGGTGCTATATAAATGCAATGATTAATAAAAAAAAATAAAATGACATATTCCTCCCCATAGTTTTTTTTTACTTTTGAAATTATACATAATGAAAACAAAAACTGACCCCCCAAAAAAAAATCCCACAACCTACATCCCACCACACTCATCATACACAAAACTACACGACAACAACAACAAAACACTGGGCAAACAAACATTAAAGGTGCATTGTGTAACTTTTCTGGCAAATGGTTTGTCAAGTGTTTGTCTCCATGGAGATGTTATTTCTTTGTCTGGGATGTTTCACAGTATGGCATTAAACTTTTCTGTCTTCATGGAGACCAAACCAGACCAAATTACAGGTCAGAGCTGTGGAGAGGCGACCCCACTCACAGTCAGAATGTCTGTTTTTCTGTATTTTTGAGATATAAAACCACCTGTAATTGAATAAATGTAAGGGAGAGCTCTTTAATGTCACACTGTGGAACATTTCAGGCAGAGCAATGACATCTCCATAGAAACCAGCAGGTTAAATAGTGCGCCTTTAACAGTCAGTCAAGTCCAGTCCTGTCAAAATCCATGAAGAGTAAAGGCATAGCTCTAAGTCATGTGATTGTCGTCACTGTAGGTGGCGGATCAGCAGGCGGCCATGTTTGGAGAGTGCTGTTTCGACGTGGGGGACGTGAAGATCACCATGGGAACGGGGACCTTCATGGACATCAACACAGGCTGTAAACCGCACACTTCTTTCGCAGGTAAAAGCACACAAAGCCTCTGGGAGGTTTTGACATGTTTTAGTTCTTTTTAATCTTGTCACAATATTACAACACTAAAAAGGTAGTACTTTCTTTTCTATTCCCATGTGGTCTTATATGTGTGTAATTCCTCAGTGGTCCAGTAGGTTTCATAGTGGTCCATGGCCGTACAATAGTCTATGTGCTCTTATACTTATTCTGATACAGCTCAAGTTGATTCTTAGACAAATTTATTGATCCACAAGGGAAATTATTTGGACACAGTAGCTCACACATCACAATATAATATAATAACAAAGAGTAAAAAATATAAATGGTAATAATAAATTCTAAATAAGTAGTAGAAATAGTAAGAGGCTGGGGTCAAATAATTTATTAAAATATAGAAATAAAGTAATAAAAATATATCTATAGCTATTCAGGAGTAGGGATGTGCAAAAATATTGTATCATATCGTTTAATGTGATAATACAGTATCGACATCGTGGGCTGCTGTATCGATATATAGCGCCAAGAGTGTTTTTTGGTATAGGCGAGTTTCATTGTTGACAAAAGCGCACGTTGCATGCTGGGAATTATTTTGGTTGGCGGCAAGAAACACTAATTCAACATGATGGACGGAGCGAGAAAGCACGTAAAGGGTATTGATCCCAGTTATTTATCCACTTTAACAGCAGAGGACCCAAGACCATTTGACCAGAAATTGATCATAAGCATCGACGGACGACAAATCACCCTTTTCAACCCTGACAAAAGGTGGACAAAACCAAATTTCTGGTCAGAATCACCAACTACCTGGACAAATATTCACTTTGGTGATATCCACAATGACTTGGTGGAAACTCCTGGGCCATTCACAGCAGAAAAGATGAAAACCTCCAAGAGTCTCGATGTGTTGTTGAACTTGTTGGAGTCCACGGTTTGTTAGGATCTTCTACGTTTGCTCTGCGGATGTTTGAAAGCCGTTTAATTCACCGTTAGTGGTTCTTTTCACTCAGAATACGAAAAAGACATTTTCCTTCTTCCGTGCTTCTATTTGTGCATCTGATAATGCAGCAGGAATTTACCATTACCAGGGATAAATACGTGAGGTTACGCACTGTGTTTGACCACTATCCTGTTTCTTGCCTCCGACCAAAATATTTCCCAGCATGCAACGCAGGCTTTTAATAACAATGACGTCAGCTGAAACTCGCCTATATTTTACTCAGTTATTTTGTTACAGAGTGACAGTTTTGTTGCTTGTTTAGTGGAAGGAATACAACACATTTGACATTTTCATGGTTTTGATGAGTAAAATTGGCTTTTTTTGATGTTCACTTTGCACAAGAAGTGATTTAACAAAGATTTTTAGTGTCACAACCATGATTAGCCTTTATTTTTTATTAAACCCTATCGAATCGTTTTGAAATATATTGAATTGAATTGAAAGTGCATTGTATCGAGATATGTATCGTATCGTGGCCTATGTATCGAGGTGTGTATCGTATCAGCAACTTCTTAATGATACCCAGCCTTATTCGGGAGAGGCTCATTTCTGTCCTGTGAATGTGACTTAGTATTTAGTATCGATACTTTCTCAAATGAGTGTCTAGTTTTAGTATTGATTAGTATCTGTTTTTCGATACTTTTGACAGCCCTAGTTCAGGTTTACAGCTCTCTTTCGTGTGTAGGTCTCTATCCTCTGGTGGGGTGGAAGATGGGAGCTGAGGTGGTGTATCTGGCCGAGGGAAACGCAGCAGACACCGGCACTGCCATCAAATGGGCCCAAGAGCTGGGTGAGGGAATAATGAATTAAGAGACAACTAATCAGTAGTAATTGAATTTAAAGGTGCATTGTGTCACTCTTCTGGTGGAGGGTCCATCAAATGGTATTAAATCTTTCTATCTTCATGGAGAACAAACCAGAGAAGTTACAGGTCAGATCTGTGGAGAGGCAATTAAGCTCACAGTCAGAATGCCTGTTTTTCTTTCTATTTTTGAGCTAAAAAAAACAAACAAAACAAAAACAGTAATTGAATAAATGTAAGGTAGGTTTATGCCAGAGTGTGGAACATTCCCGCCAGAACAATGACATACTATATTTTTCGGACTATAAGAGTATAAGTTACACCTGCCAAAAATGCTTAATGAAGAAGAAAAATATATAGATATGTCGCACTTTCTGGGGGAAATTAATTGTATAAAATCAGAAACCAGGACCCGACATTTCCTGTTGAAAGTCAAGTTCTAGTAAAAACAATAGAAGAGAGAACAACAGACTGTTAACATCACATATGAACAGTTCTTCAGATAAACTATAACATAAACAAGTTTACCAAACTCTCCATCTCACTCCAAATCACTAAATCCATTCAATTCTTCATCCTCGGTGTCACTTCTGAACAACTCCGTGACCTCCAGAGGTAAACGTCGCTTCCTCTTCTGTGTTGTTGTTGTCAGAATCAGCATCAGTTCCAGTTAGAATTATTCGGGTCTTTCTGAATCCCGACAAGATGGTTTCGGTGTTGCTGAAGTTCAGGCTTTGTCCATCCATCCAGTGACTTCAGGAAAGTTTCATGGTGCATCCCCCCGGTGTCACAAGTTTCTCGCTCCCTCCAAACTTTCTTACTTCTGATCGATTACTGTTTTCAGATGCAGATTTCACGACTTGCGGCAGGACACGCGCAGTGGTACAGGAGGAACAGAAGCAGCAGATTCTGACACACAAGACTAGAGCCTCTCGTGGTTGTCAGAGTGAAAGTTTTAATATATAAGTTGCACCGGAGTATAAGTCACAGGAAACACCCAAACCATGAAAAAAGTGCAACTTATAGTCCAAAAAATACGGTATGTAGGTGATGGACCCCCAAAAAAGTTACACAGTGTACCTTAAAGCCACAGTATGTAACTTTTTAACCAAAAAAATGTCAAAAAGTATGTTGGTTCATTTTGGTCGTGTTTATTGCACTGAATAACATATGAAAACATTTACTGTGAGCAGACTTGCATCTCCACAAACCTGACTCTTCAACATTAATCTTCATGTTGTCTGCAGTGAAATGAATCATGGGATATGTAGTTTCCAATGTTTATAAGCTGTTACTACTATAAAACCTGCATTTAAGCAAAGGAACTTATAATTCCATATATTGTGACAGCCCACGATATTCTTGTGAGACTTGATGTCACAATATTTTGGTTATTTTTACATCCCTAATGTATATGCCCGTTTCTAGATTCCGGTTTGTAATTTCAGACTTGTTTGAGGATGTGAAGGAGACGAGTGCTTTGGCGTACAGTGTGTCTGACTCAGATGGGGTGTGCTTTGTGCCTTCGTTCAGTGGACTGCAGGTATTTAATGTTTATAATTTTTAAATGTTACTTTACAATATATTATACAGTACAGAGCTCTGTTGGCTCAAACTTGTAATAAAAAAAACTTAATGATTTTACTACTTCCCCTGCAACAATGTCTTTTTTTTTTTTTTTTTTAAATCTTAGCCTAATATTTTATTGCCATTATTTTTTTTTTTGTGTGTGACTTTTTTGTGCACATAAAGCAAATGTCAAAGAAGGAAAAAATAAATAAATAGCAATAATGTAATGTGACAATTTCCCCAATTTTCCCCTTCCCCGGCCCCCCTCCCATTATCCTCCTCCAGTGTCTCCAGAGAAAAGAAAGATAGTACATAAATAATAAACAAAATAATAATAAATACAACAAAATAAAATAAAATAAACAATGACTTAATTCCTAACCCTAAGCCCTCTGTATTATCTAAATCAGGGGTGTCAAACTCATTTTGGTCCAGGGCCGTAACCAACCAACTCTGATCCCAAAAGGGGCCAGATCAGAAAACTCATGTCATATAAACCCCCAAAATAGCAAAAAGTTCAAATATTTGTGCAGAGAAACACAAATCTATTACAGCTATTACAGTAATCTATTTAACTGATGAACTCTTTCTTTTACAAAATATAATGAACAACCTGAAACTTCAAGAAAAATACAATTTCAACACAATGTTTTAACATGAACTTGTTTGCGAATAGGAATAAGTCCATTTTTGTTGGAAAATCCTGCACTCGGCTCCACTTTTCTCATTTTTGACATTTTCAAAAACGATCGTCCTTTAAGAGCGTTTGGAAAGAGACAAGTCTTCATTTGTGCTGCTCTGGTGGGAGGGGCCACGTACAGAGACGCTGGAGACGCTGATATGCTCAGCGACGCAGAAAATTACCAATATTTTAATAGAAAATATCATTAAAATATTTGAATAGAAAATTAGCTCAGGGCCAGATTAAAGGTCTTGGAGGGCCGGACCCAGCCCCCGGGCCGTATGTTTGACACCCCTGATCTAAAGGTATTATTTAAAGGCACTATATGTAGCCTGTGCCTGTACTGTTTAGAGAAAGGTATTAGAATCAAAACTATATAGAGGACTTCCAAGTTTTTCTCGGTATATGGACAGATGAAACCTCAGAACCTCCAGTTCCCTCACTGAGCTGCAGAGGCTGCATTAGCACTGATACATGATTGGCTGCAAGTGGTAGAGTTTAGATAGTAACTATTCAAACCAGCTGGATTTCAACTTTGCAACTGGCAACCCAAACGAGAGATACATGTGAGTCTCATTCTGCTTTCTGATTGGATAATCAACTTGAGAACCAAAATCCAAATTATAACATAAATAAATGGGACCCTATGTCGAATGTTTTTGCAGTTAAGCATAGGGGTGTGCAAAAATATTGAAATATCGATATATCGTATCGCTTAATGTGATGATACAGTATTGATATCATGGGCTGCTGTATCGATATATCGCCAAGAGTATTTTTTTTTGTATATTTTACTCAATTATTTTATTACAGCACTACATTATAGTTGTTTGTTTAGTGGAAGGAAACACATTTATGTAACACATTTGACATTTTCACAGTTTTGAGGGTTAAAATGGGCATGTTTCTTATTCACTTTGCACACCAATGATTTATTAAAGATTTTTAGTATCATAGCCACGATTTAGCCTTTATTTTTATTGAACCGTATCGAATCGATTTGAAATATATTGTATCAAATTGAAAGTGCACTGTATCGTGATATGTATCGTATCATGGTCTATGTATCGAGGTATGTATCATATCGGCAACTTCTGAATGATACCCAGCCCTAGTTAAGAATAAATCAGCATTAGACACAGATCTATCAAGCTGATTCATTTGAAAATCTAAATGCTGCCTACATTTCCTTTAACATCATCTCTTTGTTCTTCCTCTTGGCTTCTGTTTACCTGCTCTAACCTCAGCATCATTTTACCCACACATTCACTACCCTCTTTTGCTCATTTCCAAGCCATTGCACTGTGTCTGTTACAGTTTGTATCTCCTCTCATGTACTCATTTGTAATTCCTCCAACCCAAGTCATGAATAATATATTGAAGACAGATTACAACCTTAGGGACTTTATCACATCTTTTATAACGTGTGATTTGTGTCTTTTCTCTGCTTTCCGATGTGAGCTGATGCCTGTGTAAGTTTATAATCTGGGTACACAGTTTAGGGCAAATTTTGTGCATCAGAATTATAATATATTTGTGTTTTTATGAATTGAAGACTTGCTGATTTATGTGTATCTGTATTTCTGAAGGCTCCTCTGAATGACCCTAAAGCCTGTGCCTCCTTCATGGGACTCAAACCCTCCACCACCAAATTTCATCTGGTCCGCGCCATTTTAGAGTCCATAGTTTTCAGGTAAAAAGTAAATAATGATAACTTTCAAATGTCCTATATTACACAGAATTGACTCTTACAAGCTTTTAGTCATGTTATAATGTTCCCTTATCAGAAACACACCTGGAGTTGTTTTTTTTTTTTTTTTCATTCACACATGTTTGAGTAATCCTTTATTAGTCGCTTTAAAAATGCTCAAAATGCTCTGTTCCACCTTGTGATGTCATGAAGTGGTAGTTTTCAAGTTAACAGTTACCTTTACCTTTAGTTTAGTAGAGACTAGAAATTCCAGGGCTTAAATCCAAATGATTGTAGTGAAGGTGTGTGGAGTTTAAAAACACACTGGAGCACTTCCTGTATTACCACATTACCAGCTAAACTCAGACAAGACTGAAGTCATAGTGTTTGGGCCACAGAAACAAAGGGACAGTGTCAGCATCACCTCCAGTCTCTCTCTCTAAAACCTTCAAATCCGGCAAGAAATCTCGGGGTAATAATGGACTCAGACTTGAACTTTAACACCCAACACCCACCTCCAATCAGTAACATCTACAGCCTTTTACCATCTAAAAAAACACAGCAAAAATCAAAGGTTTACTGTCTAAAGCAGACTTGGAGAAACTTATCCATGCATTTGTCTCCAGTAGGTTAGATACTGTAATGTTCTGCTCACTGTGACGCTGCAGAACATCCAGACCGCTGCAGCTCAGGTCCTTACTCGAACTAGGAAGCACGAGCACGTGTCCTGTGCTCAGGTCTCTGCACTGGCTTTTGTGGCTCAGAGATTTTAAAGCAGCTCTGCTTGTGTACATGGCCGAGCACCAAAGTTCATCTGTCACATATTAGTGTCATATGAACCATCTCACACTCTGAGGAGCTCAGGGACCGACCTCCTGCTGGTGCCCAGAGTCACGACTAAACACGAGGAGTCAGAGTTTCAGGTTCACACAGCTCAAACCTGGAACAGTCTGAACATGTGAGACAGACCTCTTCTTTGACGCTGTTTAAATCCAGACTCAAAACAGTTCTGTTTAACTGCGTCTGACTGAAAGGTTTTCAATCCACACTCGTCTCTCTAATTTATGTAATTAATGTCTCTCTCTCTCTTTTCATTTTAATCTTTAATTTTGTGATGATTATTTATGTTTTGATTTGGTTTTATTGTGATTTTAATGTATTTCTTATTCTGTAAAGCACTTGAATTACTTTGTGTACGAATTGTGCTGTACAAATAAACTTGCCTTGCCTTGCCTTGCCACATGACATCACAAGGTGGAACACAGTGGTTTTTGTTTGAGAGAAGAACAGAGATCAGAACATAGTGTGATATGGTCCCTTTAAATGACTATTTTTTCGATTCTCAGAGCTGTTACTAGCCATAAACTGACTACGCACATGCAGAGAGTCCCACATCCACAAGAGGGCGCCAAAGTTGAACCTTTACTCTCAGATCAGTGTTGAGATGGTATTGTAGGTGTGCTCAGATTGTAGTTGGCTTTTAACATAAGAATTACCTGGATTTTTCCTAGCTCCTCAGGCATGTCACAATAACAGATTTTGATGATACATTGCTACAGAAAACAGAACACTAGGGTTGTCAAAAGTATCCAAAATCAGATATGAATCGATATTAACACTAGCAACAAAAATAGATCTTAATTTGATTCTTAAAAAGTCACATTCATTGAACAGAAATGAAGCTTTCCTGAACAGATGTAGAATGATCTTGAGCTGTATCAGAACAAGTATAAGGGCACATAGTAGTATTATATTATTACATTACTTTATAGTATTAGTATACAGTTTGCATAAAGCAGCCACAAAGCTAAAACTGGCTCTGTGCATTATACCACGAATTTTACTGTCTAACTAACAATTTTTCTTTACTTTATAGAAACAAACAGTTGTATGAGACAATGCTGAGAGAAACCCGAATCCCAATCACAAAGATCAGGTAAATGCTCTTTTGTCTTATTTAAATTTTAACCAGGATTGACTTCTTGGTAAAAGCTTACTTACCCTGCATGTTTTACTGGCACTTAACTTAATGGCAATTTAAAGAGATGTACTATAATTTGTTCTTTTACTGGTTTAAAAAACTAATTACTAAAAGCTTATTTATTATGCTGTGGTCCAAAACAAGAAAAATATCTGATGAAGGCTTTTTTTTTTTTCGAAACATTATTTTGATAATAAATAAGCTTTTGGACATCGGCCATCTGAGTGTGCTATGCAGTTTTTCACTTTTGTCTGTCTGCTCCTTGCATTTGCACCTCTACAAGAATTTTGGTGTGTATTTTCTGTTTCTTTTGATTCAAAAAAACTAATTGCAATCACAACAGAGGCTTAACCTGTATATAGCAGGCACATATAAGTGTTTCTAAGGCTGTGTTCAGACTGCAGCCTGAAGTGACCCAAATCCGATTTTTTGGCCTCTATGTGACCTGTATCTGATCTTTTAATGACAGTCTGAACGACACAGATCCGATTTGTTCAAATGCATCCCAGGCCACTTGGATATGTGCTCCTGAAACCGATACATATCTGATCTTTTGACATGCGACTTCAGTGTGAAGGGTCAAAGCGCATTCATTCGATCTACGCGTTATCAACAAGCCACAAACGTCACTATTCTGTGCTGAGGTAGGTGAAAACTGTTAACGAACTATCACTGAAGCGAAGCACATCTCCACTCACCACTCTTGGCTCCGTCTCCACATCCACACGTTCCTTTCAACGGACGTCGCTGCCGCTGTCCTACAAAACACCACGGCCAAAAACCTCGTCCTTCTCCTTCTCAATCTCCTCCTTAAAACAATTCTCATTATATGGACGGGCTTCATGTGAAAGCTCTGACCCTCCAGAATTCACTCACTGAGCTGCAGAGGCTGCACTGGCTCTGATTCAGGATTGGCTGCTGGTGCTGGGGTTTAGTGAGGACATTTTAGGTGTAAACCAGTTGGATTTTAGCATTGAAACTGGCAACACAAATGAGAGACTCACGTGAGGTTCATTCTGGTTTCTGATTAGATAATCAACTTAAAAGTGCACTGTGTAACTTTTCTGGTGGAGGGTCAGTCATCTGCTTCTCTCCATGGTGACATTGCCTGGAATGTTCCACAGTATGGCATGACACTTATTTATATTTACGGAGATACCACAGGGCCAAATAACAGGACAGATCTGTGAAAAGACGAGCCCACTTATAATAAGAATGCAAGTTTTTGGGTCAATACCAACCTATGTTACTGAGTAAATGCAAGATGTATATATACTGTATTTTTAATGCTATAACGGGACATTCCAGACAAAACAATAACATGTACACTTAAGAACCAAACAGCAGAGGAACATGTGCAGAGGATACAGTAAAAGGTGCTGTGTGTCTCCTGTATTCAGTCTTGATGATGCCCGCTCTGTCTGGGCTTATCTAATACATATCGAGTGAGTCTTATCCTCTCATCCCTGTGGAGCTGTTACTCCTTCTGAACTCATTTTGGCCTTTTGCCAGAAGAGCAGCTGTAAGAGAATCTGTCCTGACTGATCTGTAACACAGTGGACTTTTCATTCACGTGTAACACTACTCCAGACTGTGTAATCTAATAAAATATATGTGTGTGTGTGTGTGTGTCTGTGTGTGAGTGATGGTGGTTGTCGGAGAGGCCGATGTATAAAACAGATTATTTATTTTAATTATTATTACAGGGTGGACGGTGGAGTTTCCTCGAACGACTTTGTGATGCAGCTGATGGCAGATCTGTTCGGCCGTAAACTGGCGCGTCCGGAGCACTGTGAGATGTCGTGTCTCGGGGCGGCGTACGTGGCTGGACTCTCAGTTGGTGCGTTCGCTCACAGTTCACTCATAGTTCACTCACAGCAACAAGAGACATAATGGTGGAGATTACATGAGGAGTGTGGGCTGTAATGAATTGCCGCTGGTAAATGACAGAAGAGTGAGTCGTTCATAGAGCACACGTGGTGAAAATTCCTTTAGTTCAAATCACAGCTAGTGTAGTCGAATTTCAAACTTACTAAGGACTATACTATACTAAGCAATAGATCCGATATTCAATACAGACTCCGATACCACAATAACAATAAAATAAATAAATAAAATACACTCTTTATTTAGACAATAGAATGTCTAGGACTGAACTCGACTAAAGACATGTCCTGCCAACAGTGTTGGGGAGTAACAAATTACATGTACTGGAGTTACGTCATCAGAGTACAAATTATGAGTAACTGTATTCAGTTACAGTTACTGTTTCAGTGAGTGGTAATTGGATTACAGTTACTTTGTTGAAATAAATGGATTACACGCCAGTATTTTCCTGTTTTCACATTTTGAGCTATATCCTTTTTTTTTTTTTCAGTAATTCCACTCATGGCCAGAAACTAAACCAGATCTAAACTAGAGCTAAACCAGGACTAAACCAGGTCTAAACCAAGTCTAAACAGGTCTAAAACAGGTCTAAAACCAGGCCTAAACCAGGATTAAACCAGGACTAAAACAGGACTACAACAGGTCTAAACTAGGTCTAAACCAGGTCTAAACCAGGTCTAAATCAGGTCTAAACCAGGTCTAAATCAGGTCTAAACCAGGTCTAAACCAGGACTAAATCATGCTGCGTGGACGTGTCTCCTCTTCTTCTATCAAGAATATTTTTAATACGGTTCAGTAAAGTCTGGGCTTTTTATTTTCTTTTAGCAGACAAAATATCTTATGTTACGATTTCCTCGTCTTTGCTTCTCTACAGTAAATCAAGTAATCCAGAGTATTCAGATTACGTTACTCACTTTAAGTAATTTAATGGATTACGTTACAAACTACATTCTGGGTTATGTAATCTGTAATCTGTAGGGGAATACATTTTAAAAGTCACCTTCCCAACACTGCCTGCCAATCAACTGCGTGGCAAAAGCTCTCAAGACTGTATCTCTGTGTATCTGACCCAAAACTGCACCCACAAGACTCCACCTGCAGGGGGAGCTCATGCAAAAAAAGTAACAATGTTTTTATATAAATACAGATACAGATTCAATTTGGGAATCATGAGTTTAATCATTTTTTTTTTATATCAAAAAGACTAAATCTCTAAAATCACTAAATAATTAATAATCTAATGTAATGTAATTGTCAACACTGGTTTTATATCTATGGACCGTATTTTTCTGACCATAAGTTGCTCCAGAGTTTAAGAATTGAGTAATGAAGAAAGAAAAACATATATAAGTTGCACCGTATAAGTCACACTTTTGGGGGGAAATTTATTTTATAAAATCAGAGGCCAGGAACTGACATTTCATCTTGAAAGTCAAGTTCTAGTAATAACAACAGAATAAAGAAAAACAGGCTGAATATGTTAATGTTAACGTACCATATTAAGTTATTCAGATAATTATAGCATAAACAACAGAACATAAGTTACCAAACTCTCCCTTTCATTCCAAATCACTAAATCCATTGAATCCATTGAATTCTTCATCCTCAGTGTCACTTCTGAGCAACCCCGCGCAACTTCGGTTGTCACTGAAGTCCAGGCTTTGTGATCCAGTGACTTCCAGGAAAGTTGCATGGTGCACCCTCCCGGTTACTGTGAAGCTCTGTTCTCCATCCCCATTTTCCACCAGTCCCTCACAAGTTTCTCACTCACTGCAAACTTTCTTTCTGTTGCTTGAGTACAGTTTTCTGTTGCATATTTCACTACTTGCAGCAGGACAGTGGCTTTTTTCTGTAGGAGACATGCACAGAAAACTGACACACAAGACTTGAGCCTCTCACAGCTGTCAGCTGTCTGAAAATTTTAATATATAAGTTTGCACCAGAGTATAAGTTGCAGGAAACATTAAAACCATGAAAAAAGTGTGACTTATAGTCCAAAAAAATACAGTGATCCCTTAGTCATTCAGGTGTGTTCCAGAATGCTCCATGGGGTAGACTAATAATAATGCATTAGTCCACTTTACAGTTTGGGGCATTATTCATTCATACTAGGCAATATGAAAGAAGTGTCTTCATCACAACGGACACAATGAACCCCATTGTGGCTTCAAATTTTTCCTTTGTTCTCCCATCCAAGTACTAACCAGGCCCAGCAGCTTCTGAGATGTGACGAGATCAGGCTTTGATGAGGAGATTCAGCTCTAGATCATTCTAAAGCTACTCAGGAAAGGTTCATTTTTGTCTTGTGAATGTGACTTTTTTAGTATTGATACGTGCTCAAATGAGGATCTTGTTTCGAGACTACTGTGTTTTTTGGACTATAATTCGCACTTTTTTCATGGTTTGGGTGTTTCCTATGACTTATACTCTGGTGCGACTTATATATTCAAATTTACAGACTGACGGCCATGAGAGGCTCTAGTCTTGTGTGTCAGTATCTAGTACTACTTTTACTCCTGTTCCACTGTCACCTCGCACTCTACTGCACATGCCTCCTGTGGAAATACCCACTGTCTCGCTGCAAACAGTGAAATATTCAGACGAAAACGGTAATCAAGCAGCAGAAAGTTTGGAGTGAGTGAGAAACTTGTGAGAGACTCGTGGAAAGTGAGGATGGAGAACACAGCTTCACAGCAACCGGGAGAGTGCACCATGTAACTTTCTTGGAAGTCACTGGATGAATCGACAAATTCTGAACTTCAGTGACAATTGAAACCATTCTGTCGGGATTCAGAAAGTCCTGAATAATTCTAAATGGAACTGATGCTGAGTCTGACGACAGCGACACAGAAGAGGAAGCGGCGCTTTGTTTACCTCATGGATCTATGGTTTATCTCCGGAGGTCGCACAGAAGTGACACCGAGGATGAAGAATTCAGTGGATTTAGTGATTTGGAGTGAGATTGTGAGTTTGGTAAACTTATGTTATGTTGTTTATGCTGTAGTTATCTGTATAACTGTTCATTTGTTATGTTAACATATTAACACCTATTCAGTCTGTTGTTCTCTGTTCTGTTGTTATTATTAGAACTTGCCTTTCAAGATGAAATGTCGGTTCCCGGTCTCTGATTTACAAAATACAATTCCCCAAAAAGTGAGACTTATAGTCCGGTGCGACTTATATATGTTTTTTTCTTCTTCATTATACACTTTTTGGCTGTTGCGACTTATACTCCAGAGACTTATAGTCCAGAAAATACAGTAGTATTAGTATTGATTAATGTCTGATGTTCGATAGTATTGACAACCCTGTTATAAATATGACATGCTTCTATTTAGGTACAACCTTTCCACTGTAGGTCATATTACAATATTTTGGACTCACCTCACACCCACAGTGAACACGATAAACCACTCACAGTCTTTTGAAGTGAATAGTCCATCTCCTCCGCAGCACATTTTGTTTTGTTTGCAAATATAGCTTCATCTAGACTTGACATTTGTGCATCTGGAATCTATTTTTACCTCCTCCGCCTCTCACACACAACTTAATGCCTGTTACATAACCTGCTTTTTCATGCTAATTGTTTAATTATATAATAGTGTTGATGGTATTCATTATGCAGCGCTCAATCAAACAGAGAACAGACTGTGGACGGGCTCTTGTCATTTTAAACATTACGCAGGTGCTATGGACTGAGTGGTGTGTCATGTCCTCACAGCTGAGAAGGATCTGCAGTACTGTACCTGTATTTGACATCAGTACAATACAATACAATAAAATATACTACACTACAATACAGTACAATACAGGGAGTTTTCAGCACATAGTTATTTAGCACCATAGAAGAGATGCTATTGGTATTTCTCAAAAATACCTAGAAAAACAGGCATTCTGGGTCGCCTCTCCACAGATCTGACTTGTAATGTGGTCTGGTTTGGTCTTCATGAAGATAATGTTTAATGCCATACTGTGAAACATTCTAGACCGGGGTGGGCAAACTTTTTGACTCATGGGCCACAAAATATTCTAAAATGTGATGAAATGAAAAGGTCGGACCAGGAGCAGATGGATGGAGTTTTCTTGGTATTCCACCTCTTAAGAGAAAAAAATAACATGGGGTATGTAGAAAAAATATTCTATGTTATTGAAATATCCCATAATTGAAAATCATTACAAAGATTTACTACAAAATATCTGTCTTTCAAGTCCCACTGTATTTAGTATTTATTGAAATGACTTTTAAAACACTGAAAATTATTGTTATTATCATTGTTGTTATTATTATTATTCAAGTTTGGCGGGCCAGATTAAAAAAATCTCCACCCCTGTTCTAGACAAAGTAATAACATCCCCAGAAGGAAAGCATTTGACAGAGCCTCCACCGAAAAAACTAAACAATAAACCTTTAAGAAACCCTCAGTCGACTTAATAATCATCACATTTGATATTTCTTCTGACCATCAGTCACCTAATTTGAATTCATACATGACTGTCTTCCTGGTGCTGAAAATATCTTCTAAAAATACGGCGCTAATTTCCTGGTCTCTTGTTCTGAATTATTTATTGAGTAATTTTTGCCTAAAAGTCTTTAAAGTTCCTTTCTGCCATGAGGGAGCTGTAATGTACTTAAAAGACGTGTATGTAGCCTGTACTCTTACTGCTGTAAAAGGGAACTACACACAACTGAGCCAAGGTTTCCAGTAGACAGGCTGGCGCCACCTAGTGCCTCCGCTCAATTTCATTTTTCTCCAGCAACAAGGTCAGGAATCAAAATACAATAGATGGTTTGCAAGAACCCCAGAAGTGCGAGTCTGGGCTCCAGCCAATCAACAAAGAGCCAGACATTCTGTGTTGTCAACGATGCATGAGATCGAGGATTTAAAGCCGGAACAAAGAGAATGTTTGGTGAATTTTATCAAGGGGAAAGACGTTATTGTTCTTCTTCTTGCGGGATTTGGGAAAAGCTTAATATACTCCTTATGTAATAGCCCCTTTAGCGGCGCATCACATACGTCACAACCAAATAGCAGAGATAGCAAAAAAATACCCACCTACCGCCGAGCAAATGAATCCTAATGCTGCGAGGTCAGACGGTTTCTATTACATGAAACCGGCTGATGAATCAGGCTAGGTTGGACCTGCAGATGAGAGTACACTTACAAGTTTTTCTTATTCATATTTATTTTCCTATATGTACAGGCCATGGTTCATGTGAAAGCTTAGAACCATCAGAATTCCCTCTGTGAGCCGCAGAGGCTGCACTAGCACTGACTCATGAGTGGCTGCAGGTGCTGGGGTTTAGTGAGTGAGAATTCAGATCAGAGAGAGGCATTTTAGTTTTAAACCAACTGACTTGAATTCAATACTGAAAACTAATATTGAAACTAGATACTCATTTGTAGCAATACTAAAAAAAAATAATAATAATCTGGAATTTTCCTTTCCTGAATAGCTTTAGAATGAACTCGAGCTGTATCAGACCTATAAGTATAAGAAGTAGAAGAGCACATAGACTAGTATACACCCATGGACCACTATGGATTACATTACTGAGGAATTACACACATATAAGACACATGGGAATAGAAAAGAAAGTACCACAATGTAATATTGAAAATTATATTCTATTGTCTAAATAAAGCGTATTTTTTATTAATGTGGTATCAGGATTAGTACTGAGTATTGAATCTGTTCTTTAGTATCAAACTCAGGTACAGGCCCTTTAATTACTGCTTTTTTTTTTGCAGGTTTTTGGAAGAGTAAAGAGGAGTTGAAGAAGCTACAGAGCACGGATAAGATGTTTTTGCCTCAGGGACCTTCTAAAGAGCAGGAATACTGCAGCCTGCTCCACAGCTGGGAGAGGGCACTAAGAAGATCTATGGACTGGTACAAGACTTGATCGAGGCGTATAAGACCACATAGGACCAACCCAAACCAGTAATGTGAAAAAATATGCACTAGTAGTCAACTGATCACTGGAACACCGAGCAGTGGGTGGGACACAGGTTTAAAGGGTTTGTATGTGGGTATTTAAAGGGCCCATATTACGCCATTTTCTGATTGTCGTTTCCTCATCAAAAACAGACCTGGAGTTGTGTTTTGTTTCATTCACACATGTTTTACACACAAATCCAAGCATAATTCTGAGTTCTGTGGTAAGACAGGAAGTGCTCCACTGTGTTTTTAAGCTCCATACACCTTCACTAGAATCATATGGATCATTTCATCTCTGAAATTGTTAGTTAAAAAATCACTGTATCATTGTATCGGAAATAATTTGCGTTAAGACATGCGTTTCCATGTCCGCAAGCCTTTCCTATCCACACAGCTTTGTTTACATTTTACAGAAATGAAACTTTAAACCACATGGCTCATTTTCATAAACTAAGCACTCAAAAAACAGCTCACTATTGTGCGCTGATGCGGTTCAGCTTCTGTTGGACTAAAGTACATGACTCAGTGGAATATGAGTGTTCTTTCTGTGACAGAGGGGTGTTCTGCTGATGGTGAGTCTGTTCTGTGTTTCTGTCTCGTTGGAGATGGTTCATGTTAAACTTTTCAGAAATTATACGTCTGCAGGTCGTACACGTAGACCGTATAGATGAATGGACATATATTCTAGCCTCTTAGTATTTTGGCGGTGAATTACTTTGCGGCGCATAGACCTACTTGAGAGTATCAGTGTTTGGCGGGACCAGATCGTTCCATCTCTGGAGCCGTTTTCCATCGGATTAGTGTGAACGAACACCGTATCCACAACGAAAATGACTCGAATACGTACTAGTGTGGATTGGGTCTAAGATGTCCTGACATCACAAGGTGGAATAGAACATTCTGAGCTCTGGAGATACAGACTAATAGTACAGGATTAGTCAAACATGAGTGAATGAAACAAAACACAAGTCCAGGTCTGTTTTTGAGGAGGTAAAAGCATTATAACATGTCTTAAAGCTCACAAGAGTCAATTTTGTGTAATATTGGACCTTTTAAAGCAGAACTAAGCAACTTTCAGCTATAAAGTTTCTCCTGCAGCATGATTCAGATTTATATAATGTAATGATGGCTGTGATGAATTATAGAGAAAACATGTTTAAAGGGATAATGGTTTTAGTAAATAGAAAGTTGGAAAATAAATGGTATAACTGTTATTAGTAAAAGTTAGCAAAAAGAAAACTGGCATATGCTTGGAAGTATCTGAAACATTTCAAAGTACATTTTATACATCAGATCAAATACTGCCATGTTCTCTCTTGTGCCTCTCATGTGTCTCTGTGCTTTCTTGAAGGGGTTCAGGGGACGTAATAACAATATAATTAGTAACAGAGCAAGTTCTAGGGTTTAGACACAAATAGAAACATTTGTGAATCTTCGCTGTATTTAATATTTTCATATTAAAGTACAACGTAATCCCCCCACTGTGAGTATAACATCGTCACACTGTCAAGTCGAATTGTTAGTCGAATTGTTATATTGTATTATATCTAAATTTCTCTCTTCAGTCCATTAGTAAAATTCAAGTCTCGTGCCTTATCTTATTCTAAATGTACATTACTGTGCATGACTAACCCAATATAATCTAATGTAGCACTTTTACTAAACATTTCTAACAAAGATCTAGAATCTAATAATTTCATTTTTAACTTTAACTTAATAGTATAATTATAAACTGTATAACTGAGTGTCAAAAAAGACGCATAATAGATAAAACGTATTATTATAATTTAATATTAATGAAAAATTACACATGCATTATAAATCTGTATATTATCTGTAGGAATATACAGGAAAACTGTAGGAAAACTAAAATCTGTAGTCTGTAGGAAAACTAAAACTAAAAACAAAACTAATACTATTTTTTGCTTTGGGGGGGGTTCTACATTTATATATTTGTATTCATAGGAGTATATCCATGTATCTTAATCCTACTTTCTTCTTAATGTTCCTAGTCAAACAGGAAAGATAAACTTGCATTTTTTCAGACCAAGAGTTGTAGCAGTGGTCCAAGCCATGACACGACCAAAGCTACTCAAAGTGCACTACATGTTTTTCAGAGCAGGGCATTTTAGATACTAGAATATAAGTATACTGTATGTCCAAACAAAAAACAACATTTATAGGAGTATTTTTATACATTTTGTGCCTGAAATCTCTTTACTTGGATCTGATGCCATGCTGCTCACCATGTTCACAAATGATTAGGAAAAGTATTTGTAGTTGTATTACAGCTTTTGTATTGGTACGATACATGTTTGTATTTGTATTGTTTCTGATGGAATGGAGTTTTTGTAGTAATGGTCAGATATTATATGCAGATACAACCTATATTTTATACAGTTTTAATACATGACAACTCTCAGGTGCCTTTTTTTAAATTAAAGTGGAACTAAACACTACGGTAAATCCACTTTTTTGCTACTTAAAGGTGCATTGCGTAACTTTTCTCCTTGTCTCCATGGAGATGTACAGCATTAAACGTATCCATTTTGCCTTTGCTCAATAACATGGGTTTTTATTGAGTTAAAAACCTGTATTCTTACTGTGAATGGGCTTGCCTCTCCACAGATCTGACATCTAACATGCCCCTGTGGCATCATCTGCTGTGCTGTCTCTTTATAAATAAATAAGTGTAATGCTGTACTGTGGAACATTCCAGGCAACATCAGAAGCAACTTTTCCAGTGGAGGGTGCTTAACCTACTCGTCTCTATGGCGATGTCATTGGTTTGCCTGGAATGTTCCATGGTATGACTTTAAACACATCTATCTAGCATTTATTCATTACGGGTGTTTCTATTGCTCAAAAATACAGTAATTTTCTCTCTGAATAAGGTTGCCTCTCCACAGATCTGAACTGTAATGTAGCCTATAGACCTATCTAAACAAAACAATAACATTTCCCTGAAGACAAGCAGGTACTGACCCTCCAGTAGAAAAGTTACACAATGCGCCTTTAACTGTGAATAACATGTTTTAATAGCATCATCAACTGTTCCTAGTAAACATTTTAATGCAAAGTAGGTGAATATGCAGCTTTCTGGTCAAAAACTGTCAAAAATCTGTTTGTGTGTGTGTGTGTGCTGCCTTCAGTGGCCTCTGCAATTTCAAGTACTATGTGACATCACACAGAACTGCCGTGTTTAAAGCCAGGTGTTTCAGGTTACAGACACCTGCAGGGGGCAGAGTTTGAAGCGTGGACACCTGTTTGACCAATCACAGTGTTCCTTATACCTCCAGGCCCCGCCCCTCCTCCTCCTGTTTCACTCTCGTCTTCAGTGCTCTGGGCTCTGCCCGGTTGAGCAGCTCTGTTTGAAATGTGCTTATGGGTGGAGTTTGTGTTTAGTCCCACTTTAACACCGTTTTCTACAACTGTTTTAGCGTTACTCCTCACGGGGGCGCTATAGTCTGGTTTCACAGCTTTACAAAACTGAAGAATTTACCATAGCAACCACATGGCGCATGCTAATGTGGAGCCATAATTGATTCACACTTGTTCTGTAGATGAGAAATAACAGCACAGAGAGTCTGAAGGGACCAAACACTCCACTCCAACTGACAAATGATTAACACGGATTAGCCTATGTCTCTGTTTAATGTGAAATACAAGAGAAATGTTACAGCTGAATATTTGTGGAGATTCAAACAGTGTTTTCTAATGAGACTGGAAAGTCAAAATAATGATATGTAATAAAAAAAAAACTAAACAGAGATTTGACTGTGGCTCTATGTTCAGTATGTGAAATATTGTTTTACAGGTAGACTACACATGGTGCACTTTATTTTTTAATATGCATAATCGTTTATAATATATTCTAATATGAATTCAGAAAAGATGTATTTAAATATATAATTTTTCTCATTTTGTGTAGAATAGTTGAATAAAAATAAAAAATAAAAAATTAAATAAATAAAAAGTAAAAAATAATTGTCTGCAATGAGAAAAAAAGAAACTGATTTACTGTGACTAAATGTTCAACATATATCTATAGATAAAAAGATAGATTATTAATTATTATAATATATATTAATAATATATTATAATATTTAATACTTTAATTAATTTTTTCTATATTTTGACATAATTGGACTAGTTAAATACAGTATGTCTCAAAATGGAATATTTAAATGTTAAAATGAAATAATATATTTTAAATGTTTGTTCATTTTATGTCATTTTATGTCAGAGGTATCCAGTATTGTGAATGTTGTGACAGATATTTCCTAATATCAGTATGACTGACTGAGTGTGGAGTGACTGAATAATGAACTGTAAAGTGCTTTGGGTATCTTGAAAGGCGCTATAAATGCAATCAATCAACCATTAAGTAATTCAACATCCACAAAGTGAAGTTAAAGGCGCATTATGTAACTTTTCTGGTACTGAGTCCAGCACCTGGTTGTGTCCATGGAGATCTGCTGGAATGTACCACAGCATGGCATTAAATTTGCTTATTATTCATTTGTAGGTGATTTTTACAATGAAACAATAATTTAAAAACTGCATTCTACTGTAAGCAGGTCCACCTCTCCACAAACCAGACCTGTAAATTGTCTTGGTGCTTGTCTCCATGGCAGTAGAGAAGTTTAATATTACACTGTGAACATTTTCAGGCAAAGCAACAACAGCCTGGTGATGACTCCTCCACCTGAAAAGTTACACAGTGCACCTTTTTGTTTAGATAGATCTAAGATATGTTTTGTACTTTTTGTGACAATCATGTAACATACAGTTCTAGTAAAAGAAATACCGGTATTATAAACTCTTAAATTTTCCTTATACAACATGTACATTTATATGCACAGATTTCTTTTATAAGCAATATTTTTCATTTCAGTGTGCCTTTTTTATACATAATTTGCTCTATATAGCATCAGAACAGCTTGTACTCGCTTGACCTCTCCCTATACTTTCTACTTCACCGCCTGCATCATGGCTCCCAGCTCTGTTCTTAAAGCATCACTGCATTTGGGGTAAGTCTATTCCATTGTAGCATAAATTTGGATTCATTCACATATTTTGGTCTATTATTAAGAGCATTTATGGTACATTTTTGTCAAGGTTCACATAACGTGGTGGGGCAGGCTTGAGGGAGATTGGCTCAGACAGGACTGGCCCAGATGATGAGAGCTCTCGATGGTGGAAGGGAAGAGCAGCGGACCAGAAAAATGCAGCCCAAGATGAGTTAAGGTACTCGGTCACAGAGAGATCACCACACACACACACACACACACACATCTTGTTTATGTGGCTCTGAGTGAAATGAGACCAGATATAAACTAAAAACTGACTTAAGCAGGCCCGTCCACAGAAATTTGGGGGTCAAGGGCAAAAAGACTCACATGGGCCCCCCGCTAATATTAATTAAGACTCCTTATTTTGGTCTTAAATGGTTTGTTTTAACCCGCTCTTTATGATCCTGGTGTTTTCATTTTGCTATTTTGACCTTAAATAAATTAATATTCCTAATATGGACCTGACTCCAAATTCACCCCATAACTGCTACAATGACTGCTACAATGAGCTTCATTTGACTGGAGCTAAACGCTATGGATGACGTCACATTTCCTTAGTCCACGTCTTCATTTTTTTTACTTTTAAAAGAAATAGTACTTTTCAGAGTACTTTTCTAGCAGCATACTTTTACTTCTACTTGAGTGATTTTTATTGACATAACAGTACTCTTGATTAAAAGTTTTGGTCCCTCTTCCCTCTGTGAGTGAGTTTACAGCATTTGTATTTCTTACACCACTCATTTTGATATGATTTAGTTTTTTTTTTTTCCTTTTTGTGTCTATCTTTTGAAAATACCAGATTTTGTGCATTATTTTATGTTTTGCTCTTCAAATTACATTGACTTCAAATTATAAGTCAAATGTTACATCCTGACAGTTACTCTTTAAGTTAATCTTATTTGAGTAGTAGTTTTCTCATAATCCTGGTGTTTTTAATTCGCTATTTTGTCTGTAAATCAATTCCTATTCCTGATTTGGACCTTGCTCTAAATTCACCCCATAACTGCCAACCTTGATGAGCTTCACTTGACTGGAGCCAAACACTATGGATGACGACACATTCCCTTAGTCCACTTCTTTATACAGTCTATGTTTGTGCTCAGTTACATTTTTTTTTTTTTTTTAAACAAATTGTACTTTTCTGAGTACTCTTCTAGCAGCATACTTTTACTTCTACTTGAGTGATGTTTATTGACATAACGGTATTCTTACTCGAGTAAAAGTGTTGTGAGTTAGTCGACAACATTGGTATTTCTTGCAACACTCCTTTAGTTTTGGGTTTTTTCCTTTTTTCTATCCTTTTTGTGCATTATTTTATGTTTTGCCCTTCAAATGACATTAACTTCAAATTATAAATCAAAGGTTACATCCTGACAGTTACTCTTTAAGTTACTCTTACTTGAGTAGTAGTTTTCTCTTTAATCTGACTTGAGTAATTTTTGTCCCACTACTTTGTCCTTCTACTTTAGTAATATTATTTTGAAGTGACGTTACTCTTACTTCACTACATTTTTTGTCTGCTCTACCACCTTTAGATATGTATATCAGTATATATCAGGATTTTTTTCCTTATTGACATTTGATGTTTGTTTTTTTTTCTTATTTAAAGATGCATTGTGTAACTTTTCTGGTGGAGGGTTCATCAAACCCTTTTCTCAGTGAAGATGTTATTGCTTTGTTTGGAAGGTCAGATCTGTGGAGAGGTGACCCCGCCTGCAGTCAGAATGCATGTTCTTGGTATTTTTGAACTATAAAACCACCTGTAATGAATAAATGTAAATTACAGTTGTTTAATGTCACACTGTGGAACATTCCAGTCAGATCAATGACGTATCCATAGAAACAAGCAGGCGACGGACCCCCAACCAAATGGTTACACACACACCTTTAAAATTCAAACTGCTTTTAGTCTTAATTTCATGAATATTAGACAGACTTTTAATCAGTGGCATTTAAGACCAAAAATATTCAAATTTCCTCCTCCAAAGTCTGGGCCTGATCACAGACTGTTTGAAATAATGGATCATGATTTGATTAAACTTTGATTAATTGCACAGATGTATTCATAAGGGCACAGCATTAGAAATGTGAAAGTTAACATGAGCTGTTATTCCATAGACTTTTATTGTTTATAGTGTATAAGGAAAATCCTTTCCATTGCTACTGTATCTATCTCCACAAGACCTTACCAAGTTACAGCCCAGATCTGTGGAGAGTTGAGCCTGCACGCTGTAAGAATGTTTCTGTTTTCAGCTATATTTTTAGCAAGAAAAACACATGTACTCGCATGATAGATATGTTTAAAGCCGTACAGTGGGACATTCCAGGCAAAGCAATACATCTCCATGGAGACAATCAGGTTGCAGATTCCCAGAAAAGTTACACAATGCACCTCTTTTGTACTTGTAACATTCATATTTATTGCATCATTGTTGGACCTGTGTTGTAGCTTACACTTGTTTGTCACAATACTTACATTTCAAACTCAGTTTTGATACTAAAGAAAAGACTAAATACCAGGTACTGATTCTGAGACTGTCTTGTAATTTTTGCCATAAAATAACATAAATTTGTTTATTAAACCATGTGGTCTTATAGTTCTAATGAAACTCAAGATGTCAGATTCATGATACAGTTATATTTTTTTTTTTCAGTATTGATACTTGATTAAATGAGTATCTAGTTTCAATACTAGTTTCAGTATTGATTAGTAGCTGATTCTAGATATTTTTGACAACTTACTTTGCACCATCTCTATAGAACATGGGTGTCAAACTCAAATTCACAGAGGCCAAAATTAAAAACTGGGATTAAGTCGTGGGACAAACTAAATATTGAAAAATGTCATGTCAATGTCATCTGCATGTTTTCTCTTCTTTGGAGATCTGTAATGTTAAACCTTTTCTTATTAAAATAAATGTTTATTAATAGTTTTGCTTAAACATTGAATCCAGAATATAAAATAACAACAACATTTTAAATAAATAACATGTCTCTATATTCTATCTGTAGCAAATATGATCTCATGGGCCAAATATAATTATATCGCGGGTCAAATTTGGTCCCCGGGCCTGAGTTTGATATGTCTGCTGTAGAGGATAAAAAATAGGTTTACTTCCTTCTCGTGTCCCCTGAACGCACCTCTCTAAGAGCCGATGACATATTGACTGAACATCTGCTGCGTCAAATCTGAAAGCACCTCGGGATCTCCTCTCTCGCTCCATCTCTCCTCCTCCTCTCTCTCCTCCATTTACTCTAGCTCTATCCTTACTTTTCCTTCCCCCTCTCCTCTCTCTCTCCCTCGTTTCTCTTCTCTTCATATCTCTCTTTCTGTCTCCATCACTCCTCCCTACACTCTCTCTGTCCACCCAGCTTTGTCTCTCTCTTCATCCCTCTCTCCTCTTTCTTCTCTCTCCATAACTCCATGTTTCTCTCTCTCTCCTCTCTTTTTCTCCCTCTCTATTCATCCCTCACTTGTTTTCCCTCCCTCTCCTTCCATCCTCCCTCCTCTCTTCTCACTCTCTCCTTCTTTCTCTCTCTCCTCTCTCCATCCCACACCCCCTATCATTTCTCTCTCTCTCTCTCTCTCACTCCATCTCCTTCCAACCCTCTCTCCTCTCCCTGCCCTTATCTCATCTCTTATTATCCCTCCTTTCTCATCTTCCCTTTTCCCTCTCCTCTTCTCTCACACACTCCT